CCACCCGAGTGTCACCGGTCGGCCGGAGGTCACCGCAGACCGGCCCGTGCTCAACGTCAATGAGGCATTCAGAAGGGCACGTGATGTGCTACACCAGCCGCCGGTAGGTGCAGCGCGAGGGGCAGTGCAGTCAGTGAGAGGGGCGCAGAGGGTGGTGGATTGTGTGCCAGAAATAGGTAACGAGTGTTGACGGACCGAGATCAATTGGTGCGCGTATTGAATACGAATGTGTCTTACTGGGAAGCAGAAGTGAGCCTACAGTCTAACTACATAGCTGTTAAGTGTAATTGTAATTTGCTCCATCCAGCGGATTTTCAGTCTCTTGTAGCTATTTTCAGGAAATCCACAGATATCTTTCACGCAAGAGCAAACTGTGTCAGTTGCATTTCATGCTTGGGCAGTGCCATACTGATTACTGGATCTGATCGCAAGCATAATTTTGAAAGAAAAGCGTCATTTTTAATTGAAAGCACTGCCAGCAGGCTCCGGTGACCTGAGAGTCGTAGATTCTCGGATCCCACCAAGTGTGATCGTCTCGTTTTCTTGCTAGAAGTCATTGGCCACCTCTGTATAATCATTAAAATATGTCGACCGCTGTGCTAGTGCGCCTCTGTGACAGTACCGCCGTAAAGAACCATTCGAGACGGATCCACTGAGAAACTGATATCGGTGCATGTGCAATATTCACCCGTTATGAAGCCATTAGTTTTAGTAATGTAACCAATTGCAGTAAAGCTTCTCCGCCCAATGGGAGACATGGCGTCGCACCGCCCTGTGTACGTGATTTACTACTGCGTACTAGAGAATGACGGTATAAAATTGCAGATATCGACGGACTGACAACTGAATCAAGTAAAGCAATACAAGGTGATTGCAATCTAAAGCAATCTAATCAATCAAGCAATCTAAAGAGCCAATAGTGATATAAACTGTATGTAGAAATTCAAACTTTTTTCAACCGTAAAGTTGAAATTCAAATTTCAAAGTCAACCCACTCATCATTTTCATTCATCTCTTTAAAAAAAAACATGACAGCTATATAAAAAGTTATTAACGAGTCATGAAGTGTCGTCTACTGCTCATGTACGGAAGTAAATAGGAATACTTTTCGAAGGCATTCTAAAAGGATTTCAAGACATAGGTACAGTTGCGCAATACAACTAAAGGTAATGATTGGCAATAGGGTCCACTTTTGCAAGTCAAATAGATAACTTTATATGTACTTGCTTTCGGGTGAACGGCATCTTGCAGTGGTTTCGTAATAGGGGCATCTAGTTTCGTCACGTCATTCGTTATCGTTATACCTAGGGATGGAGAAGGAGCAGCAGTCCTGTTGTAAATGAGCACAACTGTGCCATTTGGGGAAAAATGAATGAAAAAGAATCAGTCCTATGCGGTGCGAATTACGTACTATCTTTTTTGCACACATTCGGAAGAATTATCGGATGGTGAATGGGTAAAAAATCACTCCTGACCGCTTGCAAGTTATTGTACCTCACTAAACGAGTTATACCTAGCTACTCTCAGGTATCCCGTATCTGTTACTGATTGCTACCACTCATCTACCGACTTCTCACACCATTTTACCACTCTATCACGCACAAACGGTGCACTACCATCACAATATATGCTCTTAATATTAGGATTGCGAGTCAATTTAATCATTCAAGCGAATCTCAGGGAAGTCCTTCAACACAGCAGTGCCCAAGAAGGTCTGCCTGGTCAATTACAGCTCAATTAACGTGAAACAAATTGCACAATGCTGCAGTTTTACCATCAACAATGACGCTGTTCGCCACCCAATAGCACTCGCCATCCATCATCACTTTCAAAATGAATGATAAGGAAGCTGACACAACAATAGTTTAAAATATTATGCACAACGTCCTTTGTACATCCAATGTCAGTCAGGGACTCCATGCATCATGTACTGTTTTTTTTTTTTATCTGACGCTACACAAGTTTTGATCCGACCCCAATAGAAGTCGCTCCCAGAATCAACCCAAAACATGTAAAAAGATTTGTAAGCATGGGATCAAACAAGAACAGTCGCCATGTTATTAAAATCCCACATCTCCGCCCGTGTGCCGGCAGACGCTGACCGTGACGGACGTCATCTCTGGGTGCGACGAGGACCGACTGGCTGCCTACGTGGCCGCCCTGCGCGAGGCCGCCGAACGGCGAGGGGAGCCCGAACACCCTCCGGAGACCCCCGCCGACATGGCCGAGCCGCCAGCGGCGGCAGCTGGCACCGGTCTGACGGCGGCCCACACCGGCCAGCCGGCGCAGTTCGCTGTCCGGCTGCCGCAGGCCGCCCGGCTCGACCTGCTGGTGGAGATGCGCTCCGAGACGGGCGACTACTTCAGTCAGCGACTGACGCCGCGCTCGCCGGCCCGCAGGAGTCTGGAGGACGAGGCGCCGGCGCCCGTCTCCAGCAGCGGCCGGCCGAGGTCCAACATCCCGGTGGGGTACCAGGTGACCGGCCGGACGGTGAACCTGTGGTACCAGCCGCCGGCGGCCGGCTGGCTCTCCCTCAGCATCGTCAGCGGTGGACAGCACGTGGAGGGCAGTCCCTTCAGGTGTACGTGGGAGAGAACGAGGAAGAAGAGGGTACAGTGGACGATTCAGACAAGAAGTCAGAGAAAGATGAAGTGAAGGAAGAAGTTGCCAAAGAAGTGGAAAAGCTAGTAGATGCCGGACTGGAATCAGTGACAGAACCAATAAAGGAGCTTTCAGAAAAACCAGTGAAGGATTCAGTGATAGAGGATGGCAAGGAACATTCGGAGAGGGTAGCGGACGAGCCAGCGGGAGAAGAATAAAGGCAACTGTAGTAGAAACGGTCAAACAGCCAGAGCCAGACTCAGTAGCAGAGGCAGTGGTAGAGGCAGTGAAGGCGAAAGTGTCAGAAGCGGCTGTGAAGGCGGCGGAGGAAGAAGCGACTGAGGCAGCAGGAAAAGAAGTCGAGGGCCCTGCTGGACCAGAAGAGAAGGAACAAGACGAGACAGTTGAGTCATCATTAGATGAACAGGTACAGAAACTGTCGATGACACAGTCTGAGAGTGAGCCGGCAGATGAAAGGGCTGAGAAAGTAGTAGAAGATTCTGTCAAGGATTCAGACAAGATATCGGCTGCAGAAGCTGTGGAACAGCCACTGGAGGAGTGTTCTGTAGAGACGGCCGGTGAGCCGCTCGTAGCGGAGGAAAAGGAGCCTGAGGATGAAGCAGCTAGTGAATCAGTGGTGGAGGCACCAGAGGTAGCGACAGAAGTAGTTGAAAGAGCAAAGAATATTGTGAGCGAGACAATTGAAAAGGCACTGCAGCAAATCCCGTTGAATGCATCGCAAAAAACAGTGGTGGACGCAGAGGTTGCTGAAGTGATAGAAGACGTCGTGGGCTCAGCAGCAGAGGGAAAAGGAGAATCATCAGAAGGGAGCACGACAGAGTCACCTGAAGAAATAGGAGAGCCGGCAGCAAAAGAAGTGAGAGAGCTAGAAGAGAAAGAAGAAATGAAAGAGCCGCTGACAGAGGTAATAGAAGCAAACCAGGCTACAGCACGGACTGAGGCAGTACCATCTCCTACTCGCCGCACGCCGCCTCTTCGTCTTCTCTCCACCGTTCAGGAGATGTCTGTAGACGTGCTCGTACCAACGGCTGATGACGTTCACCCTGATAACGTCACACCCAACAGTCCTATTCTCGAAGAACAGAAGGAAGGCGAAAAGAGTGAGAATCAGGAAAACAATCAAAATGAAGACAGGAAGCCGTCTACACCAATTGAACAGCTGTCTGATCAGCCAGACACCCTACCAACCCCCGCACCCCATTCCGGTGACAAGGTAAGCTCCGATCCGAATGCAGAGCAGGATCCGTTAGCGGAGCCAGAAAGTCCCGGCGCTGCAGCTTCAAAGGATGCCGCCACCACCACCACCATACCGACAGGTGAATTTCCGGAAGCTGCAGCGGCTGTCTCTCCCAGACAGGTGTCAGAGCCAAAGCAGCGTAGTTTAGAACAAACGGCCGCCGCCCTGGTGGCGGCAGTGGTGTCGGCTGCGGAGGCGGCTCTGGCGTCAGTGGACGCTGGTGGTGACGCCGACCAGTCCGCACAAACACCTAACGAGCATAACGAACCAAATCATCCGGACGGCAAGCCTAACGAATTGGGCCGAAATCAATGCATCTGCGGCGGAAAAAGACTGAGGACGTGGAGGAGGTGGTGATGCCAGATGCATCACAAGTATCACCCGAGCCTAGTGACTCGCCAGATGACATACCAGACGTTCAAATTCATGACAAGGACTCGCAACCAGAGATAAACCATGTCAGTGAAAATTCAGCTGAATTGGCAGTAAATGCTGAGCCCGCAAGCAACCATGAAGCGCAACACAGTGAAAATCAAACCGAACCAGTTCTCGCGAGGCAGGTGAACGAGGCGCTTGAAAGTCAGATCATGCCCACCAAAGTTTCTCCGGTGAACGCACAGGACGACAATCACACAGGGAAGGATACGATTCCAGTTCACAGTGATAAACCGACAACTCCAAAACCGTCTCGGAAGATCAGCTGGCAAGAGCGTGTGGTGGTGGCAGACACATTTGATAACGCAGAGGCTGATGAAGCGGATGAAGAGGCCGAAGAGCTGTTCACGCCGATGTCTCCCGTGCACGAGTATACACCGTCGCCGCCACTCTATCGACGCAACACGTTCGACGAGCTGGTCGCCGTCACAGACGTTCCCAACTCTGAATCGAAAAGAGAGGTGAAAATTCAGCAAAAGCGCAAACTTTCCCGAAAGGAGAGCAGACTTCGACACTCTCGATCAAGAAGTAGCAGCGGAGACCTTGAAAGTCCGGTTCCTAAAGATTCTTGCATTGAGCGCAACGAACATCCTCTAAACTTTGCACTGGACAAAGATGTTTCAGACGAAGAAAAGCATTCCGCTGCCGCTGTCGACGTCGCTGCAGTGCAAGTTGTTGCAGCAGAGAGGCTTCCTGATGAAAAAGGTTCTTGATCAGAGTGATCACAGCAATGAGAAAACAGAGGCGGCCGTGAAACACGAAAAGAATCGCAAGATCAGCTTCATTGAAAAAATCGACGTCATTGAAGTTCCAGTCGTAAAGCCCGAGGACTCAAAAACAGAGGAAAAATTTGATCCGCATCCGAAGCTCGTCATTCAGGATTCCATTGATGAGCCAGCTGACTGGATTCACGCACCTCTCTCGGAATCAAAAAAAGAACTTGAGGTTCTCGAGAAGGTATGCGAAGATAATGAAGAGCAGACGGAGAGCCAACTTCCACTGCAGAGTGATACAAATATTACCCCCATGAACGACAAAGATGTTCAGTCAGCAGCAGACAAAACACCTGCCGAGCCATTTGAACAGCCCAACGGCAACAGGCAGCCATCAGTTGAGACTCCAGCAAATGAAGAACAGTCTGAGGACAAAGCAACACTCTCACATGTGATAGATCGAAGCAGGCTATTACAGAAAAATATAATACTGTCTATGTCAACAAGCAGCTCTGACTCGGATGAAGAAGCCGCTCACATGTCTGACGGTCAGAGAAAAAAGTCACAGAAAACTTCGGACGAGTCTAGCTCCTCGTCAGATGATGGGAAAAGCAGTGCTTCGAAAGCAGCGGTGAAGTCTGATGACAAGAACGAACCCAAGCTCGACACAAATGACGGAGCTGTCAAAGAGCACAAAGAAGAGGGAATTCCAAAGCGTGTAGGCCACGATGAATCCAGCTCACCATCGGAAGGCGATGATGCTAATGAAGCGTTACAGAAAGAGAAGACTGTTCCATCATCAACTGCTTCTGGTCAAGGACACCCTTGTGTTCCTTTGGAAGACACCAGTGCAAAGAAAAAGACCAAATCTAATTCAGAGGGCTCTGAGAGCTCAACATCATCTTCAGACAAAAACGAAGCAACAAAGAACGCATCACAGAACAAGAAGAAGAAAAAGAAGAAGAGGCGGAAGAGGTCGAGTGGTTCTAGTTCTTCATCAGATGACAGCAGCGTTACTAAACAAAGTCGAAAGAAGGACAAGGCAAAACCAAAGTTGACAAGCTCCGGAAGCTCAAGCTCATCATCAGATGACAGCAAGGCTAAGGCGGAAAAGTTACAGCAAAAGAAAAAGGAGACCAGCTCTAGCAGTTCGGACACCGACAAACATGAAAGCAGTGCTGAGAAAGGAGCCTCAAAGAAAGACGATGTCAGTGAAAGGTCAAAAACATCGAGTGGATCCGAAAAAAGAGCGTCAAAGTCTCGATCGGTGTCATCTAGTAGCAGTGGCTCATCGTTAGACCACAACGGCTCCCAAAAGGAAGCATCAAAGGAAGACAAACCAGCGTCAAAGCCTGAGAGTCGTAAAAGCTCCACCTCATCTTCAGATAACAACAAGAAAGGTGAAGCACTCCAGGAAGAGAAAGATAGGCCAAACACTTCAGATTCCAGTACCTCAAGTTCGTCTTCAGATGACAGTAGTACTGAAAAGAAATTACCGAAGAAGGACTCGAGAAAGACAACATCTCGAAGTTCTAGAAGCTCCAATTCTTCTTCAGATGACAAGGACGCTGCGGTTGAAGCAGCGACAAAGAAAGAAGAAGCAAAGTCGAGTTCTAAATCTTCCAGTAGCTCGTCCTCAGATGAAGGCAAATGTGACAAGAAGCGCTCAATGAAAGACAAAGCAATGCCAAAGCGGGCAACCTCCAGGAGCTCCAGTTCATGCTCAGATGACAGAGAAGGTAAGGGTAACACGACGCAGCAAAGAAATGCGACGGTGAAACCAAAGTGCTCTGAAAGTGCCGACACATCTTCAAATGCCGATAGTGATCGGGAAGGCTTCTCGAAGGAGGAAAAGGCTAAGCTTAAAAAACAGAGCTCTAAAAGTTCCAGTTCATCTTCAGATGACAATGCTGCTACAACTGAGGTGAAGCGGAAAAATAAGTCAAAATCCAGCTCAACGACATCCACTAGCTCTAGCTCGTCTACAGATGATGACAAAGCTCAAAACAAAGCCTTGAAGAAAAAGAAAAACACGTCTCGCTCAGCAAGCTCCAGTTCATCTTCAGATGGCAGCAAAAGAAATAAGAGCACATCGCAAAAGAAGAAAGCTCAGTCAGGACAGGCCACCTCGAGTAGCTCAAGTTCGTCTTCCGATGACAGCAGTGTTGAGCAAAAAGACGCAAAGAAAGACAAAAGCAATATGAAGTCAGCGAGTCCTAAAGGGTCCAGTTCAACTTCAGATGAAGAAACGAGAAAAAGGCACACATCACCTAAGCCGGCAAACTCAAAAGACAGTTCATCGTCGGCAGAGGATAATGTTACATGTGGGAACTATGCAAATGAAAAGGAGAAAAGCAAGAAGAGAGAGCTATCACCAGCCAGGACGTCAAGCCACAGTGAAACCAAATCGGCTTGTCAAGGAAGCAATGCTGAGAAAGAGTCGATGCTGGAAGAGCAAGTCAAGCTGAGATCGTCTTCAAGTATCTCAAGCTCCACGTCGGAAGATGAAGGAAAACCGTTGGATAGGTCTCGTGAAAACGCAGCAATGACTGAAAAGCAGGATGACATGCCACACACTGACGATATTTCTGACGATCGCAACCAAATCAAGTTAGAGGTTTGCGTCAATGAACAACCGTCTTCCAGCGTGGCTGACGATATCGAGAGTCAAGTCAAATTACCTTCCTTAGAGCTAGCGACCACAAGTGATGTCAGCGAAAACAAAGCAGCTGAAAACGACACCGAAGTCAAAGACAAGTATGTCCCTTCGAGCGCTGAAACTTTGGAAGTAAAAGTCAACATTCTTGCAGAGACAGGTGACAGTGCTCAAGAAACTGCTCCTGAAACAGAGGCCATCAAAAACATCGAAGTGTCTGTTGACATATCCCTTGGCCAACAGCTTGTCCGGTCACGATCAGATGTCGAAGACGATGCTGAAACGCAAGAAAGACCAATGACGGTTACTGTCCTTCCCAGTTGCGCTCACATACGACCAGATGAACCAAAATCGAAAGGTAGATCAGACTCTGAGTCATCATCTATCAGTGAGGAAATTGGTGTTCAAGAAGAGACCCAGAAGACCGGCACATGTACCGAAACACCTGTGATACGAGACACCACTCCGGGCGATTCCCTCGGTGAAAACAAGACAGGAGATGAAGTCGAAGTACCGATCGATGTAGATCAAGAATTGGATTTCGATGTAGTTGGTCTGGTGAGCAATGTCGTGAACGAGTCACGTAGCCCAGTGCACCTCACCACACAAGGAGAGATACAAGACTCCCCAGTCATAGTTGAGAAGATTGTGACTGATGTAACGCAAGAAAATGCGCCGTTGGGAAAAGACGATGCACTGGAGCGGCGCTCGTCTACTTCCAGTGAGTCTAGTTCTTCTGGCAGTGACGGTGAAAAAGGTGGAAAGATGAACGTGGATGCACCGATATCTGACCTAGTGCCCACATCGAAAGAAGACGTCATTGTGAGGTGCGACGAACAGAAGACGGAGAATCAGCCTGCTGCTCCCATGCCCAAATCAGAAGTGCTTGAAGACAGCGCTGAGGAACAGCAAGTCGATGCGGGGAAGAATGACATGCAAGATTCACCCTTACCCAGTACAAATGAAACGAGCTCCCCAAAAAGTGAAGAAGAGACCCAGCAAAGTAAAGAGACCTCTGAACCAAACCAGTCCTTTTCAGACAATGAGTACCAAACGAAAGAAACAAACCTTCCGACCTTCGCCGTAGACGATCAAACGGGAAAGCAATGGAGAAAGAAGTCTAGGACATCTGACACAAGTAGCTCCAGCAGTCCGTCTGACGACTCTGAGGACTCCATCAAAGCGAAAACGTCAGAAGCAGCACATGAAAAAATTGTTCGCGCATCTAGCTCTTCATCTTCCAGTGAAACATCTGCTGAGCAGGATGAAAAACTCAGCCCAGAAAAGACACCTAATGTCATCGAAGACCTATGCGATGCCATCATTCCCGAAAAACCTAGTTCTGCCTCTCACGAAGACAAGAACGTAGTGAAGAAAGAAGGTAGCAATGAAAAGAAAAATGATGTCAAGACAGAAGACCCAACGGTGTCAAACACATCGAGCTCAAGTCACTCCAGTGAATCGTCCGTTGACGATCACCGAAGGGATAGTGCAGAGCATAATGAAAAGCAGGACATGGTGAAACAGGAAGATGAACCGTCAACTGTCTCGTTGGATATTGAAGTTGATATCATGAAGGAAGTCGACAAACCAGCTGGAGAATCTGGCAAAAGTCCCGAACCAGAGACCTCTGTCGTGCTAGAGACGCACATGGCTTCCCAGTTTGCAGTTGCGGAGGAATTCCCTTCTTCAGATTCTGAAGACCAAGAAGCGCACGAGGTAATAATTGGCATCGACAAAGTAGAACCGACTCAAGCTGTTGAGAGACAGTCACCTCCTGCGACTGAAGTCGTAAACGCTGAAATGGAAGCTGAAAACGGCATTGACGATGGGACCTTCGGAAAGAAAGAGCGCACCACTGTAGAGGTAGCTTCCTCTTGTGATGAAGGGGAGCGGAATAGTGTTCCCGAAAGCCAAGATGATTCCCTTGCTATCCTGGTTACGAAAATTGTCCCAAATGAAAATGAAAGTCAGGAAGAAATCCTTACAGAGGTGACAAAGTCCGAGCTTGACCAAACTCCCCAGCACATCCCGACACCTCTTGATGACATCAGTCAGCTTCCTGTTTCTGTTCCGAAAGAGGAAATTTCATTGTTCCAAAGTCCAGAGTGTCTGTCGGAAACGCCAAAAACTATTGCAGAAAGTTTTGACAACAAAACAGAGACACAAGAAAGTTTGAAACCAGCAGCACCATCTTCTCTGCCAGCTTCAACCAAGCCAAGCAGAAAGTATAGTGACCAATACTCCAACTTTGAAACACCTCGTGATTCACGATACCGACTACAAGACATGCAAGAACGCAGTAAGTCGTCTGTCGGCCAGCAAAGAACACGGATACGGCCACAGGTCGAAGTGACGTCAGCTGTCTTGCCTTGTTTGGTTGAAGTAAGAACAGCATTGCCGCCATCTGGAATTCCCTCCGAGGTTCTTGAGAACATGGAAAATGTCACTGATGTCATGAAGGAAGAGAAGCCTCCTAAGGTAGCTGAACTAATCGTGCCAGAAACGTTGACAAATGTCAACCAAGGAAACAAAGAGATGGAGAGCTTGCCAGTTGGAGACAATGTCGTCGAGGTTTCATTGGAACAACACTTATCAGCAATGGACGAAAAACATTCCCCCGCTGCTGTCTCCAGTAGCTCAAGCTCGTCTTCGGATTCAGAAGAAAACAAAGCCAAAACCGATAAATCTCAAGATTGTGAGAAAGAGAAGAAGACGCCCAAAAAAGAAACCGAACGAAAAAGTAGAGCCTCGTCTAGCAGCACCAGCTCATCATCTGATTCTGATGAAAACCGAAAAAGGAGAAAGACGTCCAGGAAAAGTTCCAGCTCGTCCTCTGATAGCAGCGCTAGGAAACATAAGATAGATAAGCGAAAGGACAGTGCTTCAAAACAACCAGTTGCAGTAAAAAAAGAAAAACAGAAACGTTCGAGCTCGTCAAGTTCCAGCGATTCACACGAAAAGAGGCAGCATAGAAAAAGTGATACGTTGGCAACTGCAGAAGTCGGCGACAAAGTTGCTATTAGTACTTCTAGTGACTCAAGTTCTGACGAAGGCGCTACCAAATCCCATCGTAGAAATTCCGTTGAAAAGGAGGGAAGGAAACCATCGAGCAGCGATAAGGAAGAAACTGCGCCTGACCTGAAAGACAAAAGAAAGCCAACGAAAACGAGCAGCTCTAGCGGGACGAGCTCTTCATCATCTTCATCGTCGAGTGATGAGAATGCTAAGCCGGAGAAGGAAGCATCCAAGTCATCATCATCCACCAGCTCTAGCTCTTCGTCCTCAGAAGACGATGTGAAAAACTCACATACACATGATCGTAGAAAGAAAAAATCACATGGGTCTTCATCAGATGACACCGAAGTCAAAAAGTCAACCGAAAAGAAGGAAAAGGTGAACAGAAGTGGGAGTAGTGTATCCTCGAGCTCAGATAAAGAGGGCTCCCAAGCTAAGACAAGTGGAAGTGAAAAAGGACATCCATCGAGACCCCACAAAACATCAGAATCATCTAAGTCTAGTGATTCAAGTTCATCCGATTCAAGATCATCGGACTCAGAAAATGAGGCGAAGAAGAGGAAGGATGTGTCGTCTGTTCCTGACGTAAAAGAAGCTACGGATGAGCCTCATCCAAAGCTGCCATTGGCGCCACCACCAACGTCCAGATTACCCCTACAAACGTCGCGCGATGAAGAAATTCTGGAAATCGTCGAAAAAGTACTTGAGGACAGTGAGATAGGTAGTCTTGATCGAAATGCCCCATCAAGCGCCATTCATGAGAGCATAGACGGCAAAAACGACGCTGATCAAATGAAAGACGATGCCTTGCCTACTTCTGATCAAAACGGTTTAGAAGATTGGGTTATCGTACCGGAAACGGTAGACGAAACACAGGCTGCACCGCACATCGTTAACGAGAAGACACGTGACCCCGAATTAACCCAACACGAGTCATCAAACCTCCATGGCCCAACGCCAGAAACGATCAGTAAGGAGGAGCCAGTAGAGGGCGAGCGTGGCCAGCCTGTGTCGGAGTGGGTGAACATGTGGGACTCCGCCATCAGTGCGGGCTTGTATCCGACTCCAACAGCTGATGTGTCAAAAAGACTCCAAGAGTTGCATTCAGAGCCGCAACAACCCGAAGCTGCGAGCAACGCCAAGCAGAGTGACCCGGAGACTGCCACGAAGCCAGAAGACGCTCCCTCAGGATCGTCCTCTGTTGAGGCACCTCAAGTGATCGCCAAAGAGGAGGCTGGGATCGTTCGTGCAGAGCCCGCTCGACTGATCGAAGATGAGCCATGTGTCGACACAAACGTGTCCGAGCAGCCACCTGTGAGTGGCGTTGAAGGTGCCTTTGAGGCCATTCTAGTCAATGTCGTGCCAGAACTCCCGATCGATGACAATCAAAGCAAAGTCGAGAAGAACAGCGAAGACCTGGACAAGCCCAGCGAGAAGACCATACGCGATAAGACGGAGGACGAAACGTACCAGGCTTCTCTCTGTTACATTGACCCCGAGTTGCCAAGCCCAGTGGAGAAAGATGGTGACGCGGACAACACTTGCCCGGATCTTATGCGTCCGGAGGACACCCTAAGTGAGTCGCTGCCGGCCTTTGTCCGGGAGCCGGTGCCAGCGGTGTGGAGGAGAGCGTCGGTCGATCGTCAGGTGGGGAAGTTCAACATCACATGCATCATTCGACCGAACGAGGCGCACTTGCATGGCTCCGAGACCCGAGTTACCCCTCCGAGGCAGACGGACAGGAAGTGGCTCAACTTGGAGAACTACACCATCATGCCACCGCCCCAATCTCCGGAAAGTGTCAGGAAGAACACCGCGGAGAGTGACCTGGGGTCGAAGACCACCGTGTACCTGACACCGAGGTCACCACCGAACGCTCGTCAGGAGCTGGTGGCCCTGCGGTGTGTCAGGAACAGTGAGGACGACAGCAGTCTCACCTACCTGCCAGAGCTGAGAGATCTAACACCGGACATAGGCGACGGGGAGAAGAGCTTTCATTGGAACGGCAGGAGCAAAGAGGTCGATAAATCCACGGTGCCTCACTTACATTCCCAGCCTCCACTAGCTGATGTGAAGAAAAAGCGGCTAGCGTATGAAAACGGTAGCTCAGCAGCGCATAAAGAGCTTCGGAAGGTGACGCCGCCACATAATGCCAACTTAGAGGAGCGAAAACAAAAGCTTCTTGGAAGCACCACAGACATCGTGTCCAAAGGTGGGTATTTCAATACGGGGGTTAAAAAGTGTATCAATAGCCAATTACGTAAAGTACCGGCCTATCTGGCTATGGAGCTGACTTGATAGAAAAAGCTGCTGATCATTGTAGTCAGATAACAGGTAACTGCTGACTAAATATGTCACATTGATGCACGCCCTAATGGGATGAGATCGGCAGTTTCTATCTGCATTATGTAACCATTTATCGCGTGTATCTACTATCTAATTTGGCCAATGCTTTCCTAACTACTTATCAATTTTGACAATGTATAAGGTTTTACCGGCTGTTTCGTGCTCTTTTTTCACCTAATGATACACATAGTTTAACGATAATTGATCTTATTGCTCTCTTCCCTCATGGAGTGCACCCTGTTCATTGCTGATCAAGGCCGGATGGAGGGTGCCAGCGTCTGCTAACCTATCCCCCTCCCACCCCACAGTGAAACAGCCGGTAGCCGAGCCGGGCAAAGTCGGTCGCCTTCGCGCCATGTTTGAGCAGATGGACGCAGCAGCAGCCAGGGCACCGGGACGAGACGAAACGCTCCGGGACTCCCGCCGCTTCAAGAGCATGATGAACGTGACTGCGCCTTCGACGACGGGCCGAAGCAGTCGTCTGGAGGAGCCAACTCTGAAAGAACGCAGTCGCAGCACTGCTGCCCTTCACCGAGCGCCATCGGGTGGGCTCGGAGCTGAGCTGTCGGTCGCCCCAGAGTCTGTGAAGGAGCGTAGTCGTAGCACAGTCAACCTGAACCACCGAGAAGGCGATGAGAAGCCTTCCTGGGACGCCGTAGACTCCGGATCGATCAAACATCGCAGCCGAAGTACGGTGGGGCTCAATGGAACCTCGTCTGCGTCACCCAGAGCCGGGCTTTCCGCTGCGCCGGACTCAGTCAAAGAGCGGAGTCGCAGCGCTGCCACTCTACACAAGCCAGAGAAGGCTGACAAGGGTGAAGACGCCGTGGACTCCGCCCCGGCGAAAGAGCGTAGTCCGAGTGTCTCAAGACAGCCTGAAGGGTCACTCTCACCCCAAGGACCCACCGGTCACGACTCACCGCCTGCATCGTCCGAATACGTCACCCTAGAGGAGCGAGCTCTCTCATCCCGCGCTCTGGACGAACTTGAAGACGGCGATCATCAGGCGAAGCTGGACGCCATCCGGCGCTACTTCGAGGGCCTGCAGGACGGCGACATCACCGCAGGCGACGACATGGACATGCTGGACGACGCCCTGGTGCCCGACCGCGGCTACAACCGCTCGCTGCCGCGCCTGGACGCCAGCGCCTCCGACCGGCGACCGCCTCTGACGGACCTCTTCACCGAGCCGGAGCGCGGCACGCGGTCACTGAACCGGTCGGCGAGCTCGCCTCTGGTGAGCGCCGAGGGTGCCGGCGGCGCGGCCACCCTGCTGGACCAGGTGCGGCAGCTGCGGCGGAGAAGGGCGTCCGGAGGGGCGCTCTCGCAGACCAGCCTGACCACCAGTATTGCCAGCACCGCCGAGCTGGCCAGACACAGAGACGACGGCATCGTGGTGTTCGGGCCGGGCATGTGCCAGGGCAAGGTCAACGCCGTCAACCGGTTCCAGGTCAGTTGAAAGCAGCCTGTCCTTCCTCTCCCATGATCTTGGGGTACGATAACGTACCCAGGTGGGCGGAGAGAACTCGATCTCTATGTGTTCTCTTAGTGCTCCGGCCTTAGTATTTCTCTTTGCGTCGTAGGCTTTAAAGTTGTAATTAATTTAACCCTCGCATGTGTGCGGCGTTTGCCAGCTTCTAATGTGTAGGGGAGGGGGGTCGGTTGGACCCCCCCTTGCCGTTTGGCCTCTGATCGAGCTAGAGCTTCGTGGAAAAAACGAGCGTATTGCGCGTGACGAGAGAAAGCCGATGATACCCAATTTTAAGGTCCTAGGTCATTGGTTGACCTTTCAGGTCAGGTCAATGAACCAAAATCGGGAAAATCGGGACCTGTTAGAAAGTCATAAAGTGTGGCTGCTAAGGGGTTTTTCGGGGTGCTAATCACGAATATCGTGTTAGTTTTGATCACAGATGATGTCTTTAAGCATTTTGACCAGGTCGGGTCAGGTCAGGTCAGGTCAACCAGTAGGCGTCGTGGCGGGTATTCGTAGTACGTGTCAACCGCCTCTGACAGTTTCGTAACATGTTACGAAGTCACCAAAACTACTTCGTAAATGTTCAAATGGTTGCTAAATTCGAATTCAGCTCCCAAAACTAGCCTAGAAACATGTAAAACTCGAAAAAGTGAACCGAGGTCACTGACCGAGGTCAAAGGTCAGTGACCTGACCTGACCTTCAGGTGACCTTGATATCCACCTTAGTGCATGGGAGCAACATCAACTCACATGTTTGAACGTCTGAAACCACGAAAAGCTTGCAAACGCGCGGCTAATGCGAGCCGAGATACGCGAAATCGCGATTCCGGCTAAACATGGTCTCAGAAAAGAGGTCACAGGTCAAAGGTCATTTGGGTCAGGATCATGAAATTTCCAGGGTAGGTGTAAAATTGATCAATGCGAGGATACTGAAAGTTTCATTGCGATCGGCCGCTTTTTACGCAAGTTATTCGCGAAAAACCATGGGGGGTCCATCCGACCCCCCTACACATGCGAGGGTTATGTCCCCCAATTAAAATGTTTAAACTATTACATGTCAAAACTAATGCAGTTTATTTTATCCGTCCAGTTGAATAGTGCACTTTTTATGAAAAAAGTACAATTTATCCCAGATCAATATGATGGAAGGGACTAGGTTTGGCCATTGACCAGTTGATTAAAGTTAAAAAGGTTGCGCGGCATGTAAAACATTCTCTAGTGCTCTCTATCAGCTCTATCAGCTCTTTGTGGGAACACAATTAGGCCACAGTAACATGCACAGTACTTCACACTCACAGTACCCACACCTCATTTCCGATTCCTTACATGATCAGTGCATTATGAATACTCAAAGCATGAAAAACTTTATTACCTCAATTTGGCCGTAATGACCATAAATGACATCATCAGGATTTCATCAAGCCGAAGAGAACACTGAATATGAAATGGCAAAAAAAAAAATCGTATCAACAGACAACATTTTGATCGATTCTACTCTTCGATTCTATTCGCGAAACGCAGTCGTCACCCTGTTAAATGGGTGGATATGTTTATTGCCAGGTCAACTGGCATACCTTCAGATCTGGTAGGTCATCTGAACGGCTTTTCACTCTCTTTCCGGAATACATGCAGATCGACCAAATTGTGTCATTCGGCTATTCGGAAAGCGTTTTCTGGATACGAGACAGATGTCAAGACATCTCTTATTTCCTTTTAATTTCCGGTCCGATGTCTTTAGATGAGAGTGATGATAGAAAGATGCGGAGAGAGAGAGAGAGAGAGAGAGAGAGGGAGAGAGAGAGAGAGAGAGAGAGAGAGAGAACGGTCCGGAGAGAGAGAGAGAGAGAGAGAGAGAGAGAGAGAGAGAGAGAGAGAGAGAGAGAGAGAGAGAGAGAGAGAGAGAGAGAGAGAGAGAGAGAGAGAGAGAGAGAGAGAGAGAGAGAGAGAGAGAGAGAGAGAGAGAGAGAGAGAGAGAGAGAGAGAGAGAGAGAGAGAGAGAGAGAGAGAGAGAGAGAGAGAGAGAGAGAGAGAGAGAGAGAGAGAGAGAGAGAGAGAGAGAGAGAGAGAGAGAGAGAGAGAGAGAGAGAGAGAGAGAGAGAGAGAGAGAGAGAGAGAGAGAGAGAGAGAGAGAGAGAGAGAGATTATCATTTGTGTATGTGTATGGCAGTGGTACAAAGGGGAGTGATCAGAATCCTCTCGTCTAATCAACACGTCTCTTCAAAACCAGCATATCACCTGACCGACCAGCAACACTCGATGTCATCCGTTGGGACCCACGTGTGTGAATACTTTCCTCGATTGGCAGACTGGTTCTGAGAGGTTCCCTGCCCACGCTACCCCCTCGTACAGTCTCTCCCTCTGCGACCAAACCGTTCATCACCCGTTTGCCCGGACCCGTCTTCTTGGTGTGCCGCAGACCGGCGGTCGTTAGCCTAACGACGCCCCGAAATGGCCCCGTGCCGAACCCGATAGCTCATCATATCGCGCCAGTTCCGTGAGCATACATATTAGACGGATGTCTTGGATTCAATCGGGCCTTATTGGTCGGGGACCGACTGGCCAGTGCGGCGCCGGTTGTAATGGATAGGGCCCGGCGACCCGCTCTGTCCCCATTCCGCCGCCCCCGCCCAGGACACCCCGCCGCCCCCGCCCAGGACTTCCCCCCGCCCCCTCCGCCCCAGCAGATCCCGCCGCCCCCACCCCAACGAGCATGCCGCCCCCACCTCGCTAACGAGCCGCGCTCGATCGCCGAAGATATGATTGCTGATTCCTATTCCACATGGGAACATCGTCACTTTGTGCATTGTGCGAAGCAAAGCTTTATAGCGTGATGGTGTTTTTGACGGTCCAATCGTTACATAACTCTCGCATCAAAATATCGGGTATGCTAAAAAGATAAAAATTATTACAGCATCTTTCAAACGCACCATGGTATGTAGAACCTGCTCTTTTATCTTCAAGCAGCTGTATGGAACGGAGGTGGCGTAGTGCTTTGAACAATCCGATGAAAATTAGTTCTTTTCCTCATCTCGATCCCTCCCAGCGCTGGCTCAGCCGTCTCAGAGCGTATCAGCTGGCGGAGGCAGCCAATTACCGAGCGCTATGCGCCGAAACTAGCGCTCAGAAAGGAGCTCAAATGCCTGATCAACATATCGTCCGCGGACGTCAGAACGGTGCCGTCACTCAGCAGCGTACCAATGCATTTTTGTGAATAGCGAAAGTGAAAGGACCAGACGGCCAGACGGCCTACCCGTAAAGTTCCTAAAACTAACAGCACTCCTAATTGCAAAACCACTGTCTCAACTATTTAACAAATCATTATCAATAGGCATTTATCCAGACGAGCTAAAAAAGGCGAACATCAAACCAATTTTCAAAAATAAAGGGTCCCCTTCTGATCCAACTTGCTACCGGCCCATAAGCATATTATCGGCCATTTCTAAAATTTTCGAAAAAATTGTATACAGGCAAATTTACGGACACATTACAGAACACGACCTTTTGACAGATAAACAAAGTGGCTACCGCAAAAAACATGGCACCGAACTTCAACTTCATTACTTAACACACAACCTATATAAAGCTTTAGATACCGGACAAGACTTCACGGCAATATACCTAGACATCTCGAAATATTTTGACAAGATCTGGCATAAAGGATTACTATATAAATGCGAAAATGAATTCGGAATTTCAGGAACACTTCTCCACTGGCTAAAATCTTACCTTAGTAACAGATTACAACGAGTACAAATTCGAAATTCCTTTTCTCAACAACGCAAAATTAACGCAGGATGCCCCCAGGGATCGGTACTTGGACCTCTTCTAGCACTAATTTATCTAAACGATCTATCAAAACGCACATACAACGACATTTTATTATTCGCAGACGACACCTCTTTATATGCCTCCCACTCACCAGACACACTACAAAACACCCAAACGACCTTACAAAGAGACTTAGACGAAATTTACAAATACGGACAAGACTGGGCCATTTCATTCAATTCAGCAAAAACTAGTCAACAAACATTCTCACTTAAAAAGTCACACCGACAGCCGACACTTCACTTTGCTGACACTCCTATACCGAAAGATGAGACTCATAAACACCTTGGACTGACGTTTTCTCACGATCTCCGATTCCACGAACATGTAAACGAAATTATAAGCAAAATAAACAAAAATACCAGCCCATTATATTCAATTGCGAAATATCTTCCTCGACATATCCTAGAACAAATTTACAAAACGTACATTTTACCTCTTTTTGACTATTGTGACACTGTGTACGACGGACATATCACTTTAAGAGACATTTCTAGACTGGAGACGTTACAAAACAGAATAGCGAGACTGACGACTGGGACCCTGTTTAGAACACCATCTGACAAACTACGCACCGAACTAGGATGGGACAAATTGACAACCAGAAGACAAACACATCGATTGACACTCTATCACAAATTAAGTAGACCTGATAACCACAATATTCCAAATTATATCTCAACTATCATCCCACGTACACGACAATATGACATAAACATGACACTTCGAAACGCTAGACACCACACTTTAGCTCAAACCCGGACAACAACACATCAACGCTCCTTCTTTACTCTCACAGGAAAACAAACGCTCCTTCTTTACTCTCACAGGAAAACAATGGAATACACTGCCAGAGACCACAAAGCAATTGCCCCTCTCAGACTTCAACAAGTGGATCAAAAAACATTATTCGGCATCCAAACCACCCGCATATTATTCACACGGTAGCAAAAATCTAAACATTCTTCACACCAGACTAAGGACTAACATGACACAGTTAAATTCTCATTTATACAAAATTCAGAAAACCGACTCTCCAGCTTGTCTGTGCGGTTTCCCTCAAGAAAGCACAGCACACTTTATCTTCTCATGCCCATTATACACACGACAAAGAGACGAAATGAACCAAAATATATCCCGAAGCCTACAATCCAACTTTACACTTCAACCTAAAACCATCCAACTGGAAATCCTCCTGCACGGCTCAGGCCTCGACGGTGTCGGCGGTCGGGCGGTGGCACGCCACTTCCAAAAATTCATACAAGATACTCACAGATTCTCATGCGCTTTCTAACTTCATCCAGGGACCTGGCCGGGCGCGGCCTCCTGGCGGGGCGTGCGGGGGCGGTGGCTGCGGGCGGTGGCCGGCGACGGGGCGGCGGTCGGGCGAACTTCTGACTGAGCGTATGTTCGAAGTATGAGAGATGATGAATGTGTTCAGGCGTGTACGTATACATGTATGTATGTGTATGTATGTACGTATGTGTATGTATGTAAGTATGCATGTATGTGTGTCTGCGCTAGTATTATACCTACATATTTCCGGTGCACTGCATCACGAGAGTTGGCACCGAGACTTAAGCCCTTTGGCTTTTGTGCCTCCTCTTATTTTACTATATATTATGCGTTTAATTTGTATTACCAATAAACAGTTGGATGGATGGATGGAAAGGAAATGAAGATTACGATTACAGATGTAAGGAATTATGATAACATTTAATAGACGTTTTTGACGGCAGTTATTTTACGTAATGCTTCCTCTGGGACTTAATTGTCGGACGAGCTAGTGCCTGATGAGTGGCGATAACACATACCTGCATGTCGGCAAGATATTGTCGGAATGAGTGGCAGTGATAATGGCACCAGCACATAAGACAAGTCGGGCTGGTGCTGGCAATGCGCCCGTGTCGTGGTCTGAGTCGTAGTTTGCATCTTTTTTAGTTAACATGCCGTAGGCAGCACCTGCGTCTCAACGTCTAATGTGACATGGTGCTACGTAGCGCGGGTTACAGATCACACCGTTGCACCTACCGCGCTGAAATTTGCGCAAGTTTTAGAACAAGGATGGACAACGTGCCTTTGAGCGGTCTCGGCTCGATCGGATCGATAGCGAGCGCGTGGCGCGTGCCCAAAAAGTGCAAATTCGCGTCATAGACTTTACATGTATAAATCGGCTGGCAAAAACGGGCGAAAATGGCTAAATTTGCCCGACACGGGTCCGTTCCCCGTGCAATATCTCGGTAGCCGTGCGCCCGATCGGCACGGGGAAAACAGCATCGTGTAGAGAATCGAACGGGCAATCGAATAGTGTGCGGTGCAGGGGTGGCACGCGCCACGTGCAAGTGTGAGGGCAATTTCATTTCAAAAAGTGCCATTTTAAACGGATTTTGGATTTTATTTTATTTTCCCGTGACCATCAGACTGAGAGAGTTGAAACAACGTCAATTGGCAAGAGAAATGTACCGCCTCTCATGGAAAAATTGTGAACAGCTAATTGATCAAAAACAATGTGGAAAAAATCGCTGAATTAAATGGTATTTGTCCATAATGTGCCACTAAAAAGTTACACGGGATTTGCTGCTTAACCTGATACGCTTGACAATTGAAAATGCTATCATTAGAAAGAGCATTCAATTCTCTCCAAGATCCAATCATCACGTTTGCATGACAAGCAACAGTATTCTTAAAAATATAAATGTTTTAAACCTCTGCAAAACGATTTTTAGCGAAAATTATCTACGCCTTTCATTTGTCTTAAAACTACGCACCTCAATTATAAAGCACATTTGACAGATTCTGAAGTGGAAAGCATGCTTATCAGACACGGGCACCTCGATGCGGTGGATATTTTTTCCACAAACCAAAACGTTTAGGAGTCAAAAAGCAATCGACCGAAATGGATAGATAACCCAACCGACACAAGAACAACCGAACACCCGCCGATCGAAAATATCCCTTTTCGCGTTGCGGAGCACGCGGGTCACCCTAGTATTCACCTATAGTATGACAACATGCATCGTATCCACACTTAATTGCGCTCCCTTTCATCAAACCCAATCGTTAGGCGACGGTCACGGTGTCGCCAGGAGACCCCAATCCATCATTTCCCGATCCTATGTGAGTGCACAATGTACCTGAAAATGCCGACTTATGTGTAGAGCATGAAACTATCCCCCGGGAGACAGACCCCACCTCCCTTACACGTGTGTGGGAGGCCACGGCACCTAGGGTGAGGGACCTCCGGCGGTTGGAAGGTCGCGCAACTTTGCACCGTGCTCCATTCTAACGGCAGCGAACGGCGCCCGTTCCACCGCCGGGCCGTGCCAACTTCTCCCAATATTTTCCGGCAATGGTTGTTCTACCCGTGACGTCTCTCACCTCCGGTCGACCATTGATTGGATCCGCTAAAGGTTGGCGTTTGAGCCAGGCAGAAAGATAGCCATGATTTATGAAAACGTACAGCAATGTTATTAGTTGTAACATACAGGAGCTGTTGTGTTATGCCGACTGTACGTGCGGCTGAAAGAAACACCTGCACTAAAAGGGAGCCACTGACCAATTATGTGACCACTGTCACAGTCCTCTGCCATTTATTGTTCCGTCCACCCGCCGGCCGCCCCTCCCCGTCCGAAATTGGTCCAATCGGGTAGCTGACAGACAGTCCGGTCGTCCGCTCCAATGGGAGTTGGCTCCACATATAGACGGTCATCGCCGGTACCACAAACGGTTCTGTCAGTAGGCGAACTGCGGATCCGGGCCTGGGTCGCCCATACGACAGCCCCGGCCAAAACGTCCACCCCAACGCGTCCGGCACTGGCTCAGCAGTGTTGGGACCTTTCATATGTCGTGGTGTCTCCGCGCACTGCCTGCATTGCATCCTCGCAGGTGGCGTTGATTTGTACATGTACAGTGCCGATAAACCGCGTGTACATGATCAAAAATGTATTTAACTTATCAATCATTCCGGTGCCATGATGAGGGACCTGTTGTGAATCGCTCTGCTATTACAGAGTATCTTGTATCTTTGTGACAAACAGTTTGTCAGCTGGTACCCAGAAAAGCACCCTGCCTTACCCTGTGATTCTTTCCGTCAGATTCTGGTGCCGCACGCCGACCAGGCTCCGATGGGGGTGCGGCTCTACAGTCAGCGCACCGATTCCGTCACTCGGGTGGAGCTGCGTGACCTGGGCTGTGACTACCATCAGGTGGCCTACCGGGTCAACCAGCCCGGCTGGTACCGACTGTATGTGCGGCTCGGCGGCGGCGCCCGCCACGTGGACCTGATGACCAAGGTGTCACACTGAGCGGGTGAAGGAGGGGTCACACTGAACGGAACTGGTGTCACACTAAACGGAACTGGTGTCACACTAAACGGAGCTGGTGTCACACTAAACGGAACTGGTGTCTTACTGAACGGAACTGGTGTCACACTGAACGGAACTGGTGTGACCTGCTGACCGGAAGGGAACTGAGGTGTCTTTACGAGAAGGATGCAGTCGGAACTGAGATGTCGCTCTAAACCCGAAACAGGTGAAATATCGCGCCGATACGACCTCTTCCAGCTAGAAATCGAACAGGAATTTACTATGTAGTTTTAACTCTCAATCTATTTCTAATTAAAAAAGCCGATGCGTTTCTGCTAGACGTTCAACAATGGGTGCAGAGCCGAACTTAGTATTCCATTCTAGCAGAACGCATGACGTTCACATTCCAGCCCGACACCAGTGCTTAAAAGAAGCCAGCAGTATACTTGCAGTGTTTCAGACATCGGAAATGAGCTACACGCCCAGTGATTATTGCAGCAAGGCTCGCGAGCGTCCAGGGCCCGGCCTGTGAGTGGGCTGTTTGGCTGGTGCCTCGTCGTTGCTCCGTGAAGCAGGGACAGGGCCGACCGTCGCATCGCTGTTTAGCCGTGTATTCCGTTTAGTCACAGTGTTTGTTGCGTGACTAGATGGTACGATAATCGGTGCTCGCATTACCAGTCGGTGGCCAATACGCCATAGGACGGAAATCATTGCTTCATGTCGTAGATTTGCTTCCATCGCGGTCTATTGCCATTTGTCTGCATATGTTTATGGGATTTCCTGGCGTGTTGTGCTGGGGGCATTACGCTCGAACGATGAGCAGAACGCGCTATGTAACCGTTTATTGCGACCCGGTTATATTCGGAGCTTTCCCGAATGGCAATGATGCAGCATGTCCACCGCACAGAGGGTCAATGATTGGGCCTATTTGGGGAGTGAGATGGATTTGCTGCGTGTTAGGGAGTATATTATCGACAAGGCAGCTGTTATTGTATATGAAAATATTTTTGTGCTTAGTTGTGCGTCAAGAGTATTATTGATTAAGAAGTGTAATTGCTTTTATATCCGATTATCGATTGCATGTTTTGGTTAGAGATGCAGATTCACAAATGATTTTATGCTTATGACCTTTGTATATGCATGGAGTGTTGCGAACGAGCATCTAATTAGCTCATGCCACCGCACATTTTGTAAGGATGTGGCATCCTTTGCGTTGGCATTCGTTCATAAATGTGTGCATTGATAAAGCATTGTATGTGATTTTACCTACCAATGGACGGTAGAATGTTTTGTGGGCTCCAATCAAAGCAATATACAGTCCAATTTATTCATGCGTTTTGTACTTCCGAGAAGTAGCATTGCACAATTTTTAGCTTGCGAAGAACAATATATCAGTGTCCCATTGATCTCGCCATGATGCATACAGGGTGATCAATAATGAATGACATAAAGTATGACTACCTTGTGACCTTATTCATTGACCTCGGTCCCACGGATGACGTCACAGGTCAGGTCAAAGGTCCAATTTTCACCGTTTACATGCATTTCACGAAATGCGTGGTAAAATCGAGTAAATTGGCATGTCATTGAAAATCATCGATGTGGGCATTGTCCATTAAACACATATTTTGCTATTTGAGGTCATTGATACCAGGTCAGGTCACAGAGGTCAGGTCACTGAGGGTTACAATACGAAAATATCGTGCGATATATGTTTTTTGGCCCATTTTACATAACAAATGAGATTATGTGGGTCAGACAGCCTTTGGGGCCAATTAAGGTTATGTTCTGGTGAAGGTCAGGTCAATGTGAGGCCAAATTAGGTCAAATTTAAAAGTTTATACTTCTGCATAAAATGGGTATTGATTCGATGCAGCTGGTCACAGGGAGTCTAATGGTGGTCTTTTTTTGCGCTACATTGCTAAAAAAATGAGTTTGAAAATTTAACGTCATCAATTTTGAACAGTGTTTTCGCTATAACTTGGCCAAAAAAGAGGTATGAATCTCAAATTTGGTATATATGAATAGAAGGTGGGAGGGTCTATCATATATATTCCAGTTTTTCGAAATTTGAAAAACTTTTGTTTGTTTTTTTACTATTATATCCATCCAGAATTTTCAAAATCCAGAATTTTCAAAACACTGAGATAGCAATTTATAGCCCTGTTAATTTTACACCTTTTATGTTGGAACATTTATCTGTAACTTCAAAGCTGTAGGCCAGATAGCTTTTCCCGTGAAACCTTTGTTTGGGTCGAAAATGGCAGAACGTGACGTCATTCTGACGTCATTTGCTGCCAAACTATCATAGCCTCTAGAAAATGTATGGTAAAAATGTGTAAAATTTATGTCCGGAGGGGTCCTGAATGTTAAGTGACGATATCCGCAGTCGTTTAGGATATATCGACGGAAAAGAAGAGGGAGGGTCGTTTTGCCCCCCCCCCCGACATGGCGCGGGTTAACTCTGTTCTTTCTTAGGTTTGTCAGACTTTTATAGATGGGAATTCTAAGGATTTTCCAGCTGACAGAGACAGGTGATAGTGTTCACCCGTCACGTTTAGCATTTACCGATCGGTGTCAACAGACCAGCGACGCACCATATGCGCATCAGTGATAATGTCCAACATTCAATGTGTCGAAGCTAGTCGCTTCTATGCCATGCTTATTGCATATAACACCAATGAAGCGAGCCACTCGCAAACTGATGAATGGCGCATTAACCATCCTTTTATGCCATCCTTTCCAATCAATCGTAGCGCATTGAGCAAGTCTCTTTATTTAGGGATATATCACCTGCATCTTACATAACAAATATCACTATCAAATAAAAATGCAGTAGAGGGAATCTCGGTTTCAACTGGACATCCAATACCGATGATATTCGCGTGCCGTAGTGTCGCGTGTCTGTCCGAACAGACGTGCGAATATCCACGTGCCTCGCGTGATCCGTGACACCTCCTCTCCTCTCTAGCTGAAGGGTGGCAGCCAATAACCGTCGTACTTACCCATGGCCGTGAAAGAATTCACTCCATATGTCAGTACAACTGTCCCACAGGAGCGGAGAAGCAGCATCAATTTAAACCTACACGGCTGGAGATTGTTTTTGGCAATTGCTTGGAATGTGTTAGATATTGGGCGCTGATTTTTAGCATGTTTCACCTTTAATTCAGGACTTCTGTTGTGAACGACCCGCATTTTCAGGTCAGATCAGGTCAAGTCATTGACGCATGGTTTCGCCCGTGAAACTCAATTAAATTCTACACAGTGTTGAACGCAAGTACCTATAGCGATTCGAATTACAAAAGATAACTATGTTGTTGTTATTCATTTGGACGAAATCCAAAATCTATACAGAAGTTTACCAAGTGACTATTTTTGTTAGATTATGCTAAATCTACATTATGTAGTACAGCAAATGTTGCTAGTGCTGCAAACTTAGTCGGTACCGTAATACCAAGGTTCAAGCGACTATTATTTTATCAAACCAAGACTTTGAGGAAATAACAATGATGCCTCTTGGTTTGATAAAATAACAGTTGCCCGACAGACCTCAGTCAGTGTCTGCCTGGGTGTGAAACATCCCTTGCAGTCGGTGTGCCCTGAAGCTCTAATTAACGAAGTAGCTCTACCTGAAGGATTGTAAGCCTGATGTAGTATTTTTGCTTGCTAAGTATGTAGATGACATTCAGACGACTCATGGCGTAGACTTTGCTCCTATGTATCGCTTGAATAATTATTGATGCGAGCAACAATTATTCTCCTCCGTTTCACTTCATGGAGGCCCGTTACACTAATAAAGTTATGCAATGTGTGCTATCGTTTTCACTTTCAAATGAAGAGAACTTTATCAAGCTCGTTCACACCTGATGAACATAACGCAGAGAACTTTTAACAGCGATTCCGTAATGATCTCTAGCTTAGACAAAGTGCGATCCAAGCATGGTGAGCTAACTCTCGCCCTGGTAAGGGAAGCGTTGATGTGACCCCCCCCCCCCCCACTCCTGATATTTTTTGCGATACGCGCCGAGCTATCAGTCGGATCGTGCTGAAATTTTAAATAGCTTTTGGGGCATCCTTTACGCAACTACTGATAAAAATAAACGGTTTCAGTTCATGTCAGGTCACCGAGCTATGATGTCATAATAGGTACAGCCTCCGACCGTTTTTGACTAAATCGTACCTTCCGCGTAACTGGACGTGATCTCATCGACAAGAACGAAACTATTCCGTGTGACATACCTATGTCAGAATTTGACTGGACGTGAATATATACATTGTATTTACCTTTCTAAGCTCAACCAAGGTCAATGGCCTCGCATGTTCTCACGCTGACCTCCGTCTGGTTCAGTTTTCACCTAAATGCCTTCAAAACCGTTCCTTGACCTTTACAAGGTCAACCTAGGTCAGCTCTCGATATTCTCGACCGTCCTCGTCAGCGGCGGGTGTGACCTCCCGTGTTCCCGAGGAATACGTCACGCCAGTAATGACTGAAATGCAATCAACTAATACATCATTTTGTTACTAACTCGTTGAGAAACGTGGTAGTGAAAGTTTCATGTCGCTATCTTTCATAGATTCGCCAATATTGGCTAATTAATTTGGAAAATCACAGCTCTTCCCCGAAATTTGACCCTTGACCTGCCATAACTGGGTCAAATATTGAAATAGGGTCAAAAAATATACCACCAATCACGAGTACTCGTTGAGAGCAATCGACTGGTCTTCGTTGTGAGGCGCTACCACGCTTAGTTACGAAACGACAGGGGGTTGCATCGACCCCCCTCCCCCCTGGCAGGCCGCGTTATGAAAAATGTCATGCCAGGGCGAGGATTAGTGTCTGTTTCAGATATCCTCTTACACCTACATCGTCGCCGGCTGACTGTTCGTCCGTCCTGCTCGTCCACCCCGACCCCTTGCTGCCATCATCTCCTGTCGCTGCCGCCACTACCGTAGCTGCTTTCAGGCGGCGAGGTACCTCTCTCGTTGGTCTGAAGAGTGACGTTTGATATACCCAGTCTGAGTTCCGCGTAACCGTCTACTGAATACGTCGCGGAATTCGGCATGGATCGAATGATTGTGTCTGGGTGGTTACCCTATAGGGGAACTATTCTGGTTCCGTCTGTATAGCAGCTTGGCTTACGTATAGTGGGCGTCTGCCACATTCTCGTAGATACACTATGGCGATGTGGATGTGCATGTGATAGGTGCTAAGGTGTTGGAGTAGTTTTACCGATTAGTTTCTTTTAATGCTAGATTAGTGGTAGAGATGCGAATGGGAAAGACGTGTATACAACGATGCCGTACCATTTCTTGTTGACGGTATGTGGAGTGTGGACCAATGAGGCATGGCAATGTGCAAAGCATTTGCACGTCCATGTTCTACCAGACAGCTTACTGCGTGCAATGATGCGTTCGTTCTTTAATGTTGTCCGTCATATCTGCCCCTCATGTCGTGCTTCCGCCATCTCCGCTCACCATTGAAACACATGACAATAGATGGTATGCTGGCGCGTATATTGGCTGCTATAATCTGGCTCCTGTTACGCCTGATAGGGATCAGATCTTTACCGAGTTCGACGGTCCGTAGAGAGCTGTCGCTACCCCGCAGAACACTGACAGCTCAATCAACGCGGGACAGCCGTTCCACCCCGGGGCCGCGCACGCGCACCAGGCCGGCGCTGAACCCGAGTGCGACCGGTGCCGGTGGCCGGAGTACGCCCAGCCCCACCGCGGCGTACCCCGCACCCAGAGCCGGCATCGGCAGCAGTCGGGTTGCCGGGCAGGCTGCTACTTCAGAGACCCGTCCTGTCTGCGCCGAAACGAGCGTTTATAACATGGCGTACAGTACTTTTATCGTACGAGTCTGACCAGGAACTGCCACCTTCGACGGCTGATCACTGGCGCGGAACCGGGCGGCGAAGTTCGCCGCATAAATTCTAAACGGCTCTTTATGTTTATGACTCGGAGCGGGGTTAAAGGCGCGTTTATATGCCCATGGCTTCCAAAATGGCTAACAGAGGCGGCAGCGTCGCCATGTGTTAGCGCATGAGACGTGGTGTCATTAGCTTCTGTGAAGATACGGGTATATATAATTTAAAGTTGGCATGTTATCACTCGAGACGACTTCGGCGACGTTTTCACCTCCGGCGGATCAGCGGGCCACCGTAGACGGGTGTCTCCTGAAACGACACAAACATCTGTCAGCGGTCATAAAATGTCACATCAGTCAGCTGTGCAGTAACCAACACAAATAACTGTCAGCGATCTCAAGCAATTGTGAGATCAGTCACCTGCCAGCGATCAATTTAAAGGCTCAAACGTCTGTCAGCGATGCCAAAAAAACTGCCAGTGATCTCATGAAACTGACAGCGATCAACAGCGGTTTAAGCAACTGTTCGCGATCACAAACATGTCTAGGTTAGTAATTTGAAGATAAACTGTCAGAGATCGCATACAATGGTATGCTACCTTCCAATGCCTATTTTTCAGTCTCCGCATTTCATTTTTTTCTGAATAAGTGTAGAGCAAGTCCCACAAATGCAGACACATAATGCATTCTTTTTTGACAATTATTATCATGCGTTCTTTTTTCAACTATGACACTACGAGGAGACAACTTGAGGCCTGGTTGTAGACGATTGTTCTTTCTGTACACCGGGTTCTACGCTAATCATGTCAAAGCGATGCGTTCAGTCACTCTGAACCCCTGGGTGGTTTGTTTTCTGGCCACGTGTCGGTGATAAACTGGACTCCGGCCTTATTTCGCTCGGCTCTGTGATGCCACTGACGACCGCCGCCATATGTCGCCGTTCACAGAAAACGGTGTCTCCCAGCTGAGGCCGGATTAGTTGGCGACACGGTCAGAGCGAACCGAGTCAGCGCAGTGGCGCGCAAGGTGTGGCTGCTGGCTCAGCCACCGACCATACTGGGCAGAGTGGGGTGGGCAGGAACAGTTGTCACCCGCCAGCAGTCCACGCCCACGCCTTTCGTGCAAGCGCGGACGGCCACAAAATTATGGATGAGGTCCTGGTAATTAACTTCAATTGAGTTAGAATCATCAAGTTTTTTGGGAGGGGGTGGATATTAGACGTCATATGGCTCCTCAACCTTTGGCCGTTTCCGTGCCCTTAAGCTGAAATTGACGATGTCTTTTAGCACTGTAAGCACTGGTGGGCGCAGTGGAAGGGAGGTGCACTGGGGGGAGCACCGGATTATTCCCTCGTATGATTCTACCTTCAATCCACAAAAGATCATTGTTAATTTTACATAATCATTTATCTACATTTACCTGCTTGTTCTAAAATTAGCCTGAGGCTACTGATTTAGTACTTCATTTTACAAGATGATAGGCTTCCGTTTTTCTTCGTCTTTTCGAGCTATCTAGGGCATTATGATCCCATTCCCGCGTGGGCACAGGTCAATTCCACACTCATAAATGTTAGTGGACGAAGAATTCGCATTTTATAGTGCATGAGGTTACCAGGAGCAGCGTTCAGATAAAATTGTCGCTTGTCTTTATCGAATTGAGCCGCAGAAAACTGAAGTATTTTATATCCCATGGGTGAAATTTTATTTGAAATGTCGTTACAAGTAATATTTCTAAGGGTTCACCAAAAAAAAACTTATCTGGTGGCGATGAACATCTCTGGTTATTTTAATTGTTTCATTAGTTCTACGAATGACCCTTGGCTTTGATCTTTACTCGCAGGTCTGTTCCGTGCGTAAGAACTTTTAGCGCCTAGTGATGAGTAATTGAATCTGCTGAGAATCCATAAAGCCGCTAGCGAGAATCGATTTCTGCGCCAGAGTGGAGGGTATCGTTAACTTGAAATGTTGACTGCTAACGTTGCAGCTACTAGAAGATGTGTATCAACGGTCTAGGCATTCTCACCTCATCAACTTCAATGGTGTCGAAATACGCTGGTTCCGAGGCCCGCTTTCCAAACCTGTGGAGCAGAGCACGTGTAAGAAGTGGGTTGCCAGCACTTCATTTGTGTTCCCACGTATGCCAATGCACGGTCATCCGAGCATCAAGATACACTTCAAACTGTCACGAGATTCTTCATGAAAGTCATTTGTAAGACAATGATTCAGGAAAATGATGAATTAATCAACTAAAAATGTGCAAAATTGTTTTAATTTTTCTTAAGCTCTGCTGCACGTATAATTGACATGCATCAAGTACCTACAATTTATGTCGGAGTCAATGACAGCAATATCGTGCATTGCAGCAATTGTTCTATTGCGTCAATTTTAACCAGCATCGCTTGGTCCTCACTTCAAGCTGCCCACAGTTAAGGGCTGTCTACACAGAATATGTGGTGTAATGGAGATCGATGAACCAAAACAAAACGGTGACAATCGGAGTTCTACGGACAAAAGCCAAGGATGGGCGTAATGGTATTTTAAAAGAAATCGACGAGCCAGACTTGTAAGGAAATAAAAACCATGATCCATAAGGATTGCATTCCTTTTGCTGGCCCCGTAGTGAGCGTTTCAGTAAAAGGTCATATTTCTTCACAAATCCAGAATTACGTAATTGCCTAGACATTTCAGGTCATCCCCAAAAAAGTATCTAATACTGCACAAATAATTGTTAGAGTGCTAAATCCAACATTGGTTTTGATTCAACACTTGGGAAATCACGTACAAGGAACATATATGCGCTGTGCGCAGTGGACAATGGACGTATAGATGTAGCTGAAGACATACAGACAAATAAATGCGTAGCAGGAAGTTCAGATGGCCACGAAGTAAAACTTTACATAAGCACAACAATGGACATAGCTGAAACATCCATGGAAAGAGTTTCGTCAGATGAATTGCCGATTTCCATAATCAATAGCATATTGTTGACGTCACAGACATGGAGGCACCGTAGCTGACGTCACAGCAGCAGCATGAAGAGCTTTCAGCTTCCACCAGGTGCTACGGACCCGAAGATCACGATAGAAATTCGGCCGCCAACACACGCGGCTGCTGCCGAACCGCCGAGCGAGCTGGCGTCACAAGATGTCGAGCTGACGTCACAATGAGAGGCTGGATGACGTCACCTGAGGGACTGCACACTGCATGGTGGCCTACCTGGGCCTGCTGCGGTGAGAAAACTCCCTGTCAATCGCCAGGAGGCGCCTGTAGAGGTCAGCACGCAGCGAGAAGGGGGAGGATCGCTTCACGACGTCTGCACCGTAATCGGCTTCACTGTGCAACACGGGAACGAGATGTAACAGACCATAGAGGGCATGGATGGGGCAGTGAAGAACACAGAGGCCTCAGTCTGTATGTGCAGTTACAGACCCATCGGGCACGGGTGGGGCAGTGACAGACCCAGAGGGAGCCGCACTCTGTCCGCCAGGATGCAGACGATCAAAGAGCACACCGAGGGGCACCGGCTTCTCGTCAGACACAGGTAAGTAACTAAATATTTACGGGACAGTGAAGACCCAGCAAGCACCGCTGCACTATCAGCGGGAACTCTGCTCGGTGTGAGGAGGGAGGGGCATGAGTTACAGACTCAGCGAGACTGCTCGGTTTTGGAGAGAGAGAGAGAGAGAGAGAGAGAGAGAGAGAGAGAGAGAGAGAGAGAGAGAGAGAGAGAGAGAGGGAGAGAGAGGGAGAGGAGCAGTGGCAGACTCAGCGAGAACTCTCTACAGTGTGGAGTGGGGAGGGGCGCTGTCAGCTTCACCGGACACTGCTGCACTCTCAGCGGGAACTCTGCTTCGTGTGTGTGTGTGTGGGGGGGGGGGCACTGCCATCCCCATCGCCCATTGCTGCCGGACTTCACCCAGTACGTGGAATGAACGGGAACAAACAGCTTGGAGCGTATGCTGGTCGCTGCCGCAGTTACATCAGATGTTGCTATCGTATGTTGTATCTGATTAAATTCTAGTTCAGCAAATTTTTCACTCACTGTCATGCACGGCAAATTAACCTACACGTCAAACTGACATTCTTATCGCAAGTTTATTCTTTATTAAATACTCTGCAAAATTCATGGCATCTATAATGAAGCATAAATCCATACTATCGCCCCGGCAATAGGCTACCTGAATCGAGTCCATCTGAGCAGTACCTGTTGCCGAGCTTGCTACTCGTCCGTGAAGCAGCTAAAGAAAACTACTTAGATGCCCGGTTTAAATTGCATATCATAAGAGCATGCATAAGTATCAACACCGGTCCCTGCGCTGAGTCTCTCCTTCCTAGCGTCAGTCCCCACGGAAGGAGCTCTGGGAGCACATCGGGGGCTGCCCATATAACAAATACTACCCTTACGACACAAACCACTTCAATGAAGTTAACCTAAGTTAGTTTCTAGAGTAAAACTATTTTCAATTAGGTATATTAACGTGTTCATTATTTGAGTCTGGACGGGAGAGACGCTGGCGCTAAAAGCGGCCCGTCATCGTATCACGGTAGCGGTGGTTCCCGCTCTGTAGGGTGTGAACTGGTGTCAGTGAAGTCACCTTGATTGTCTGCCGCCTCGGAGCGACAGCTGCTATTGAAATGACCCGCATCGGTACGGTACTCGGCCGGATTGAAGGTTGGAGTGATTCACCATGTCGGCACAGGTCTTTGAGAGTCACAAGAGAGCTTCAGTGTTTTGTAAATACATATCAATAGAATAAAAAAGGAAAAGCAATGCAAGTGCTTTTCCATATTTCATTGTTAATTCTGAATGTAAAGTCGAAACATAATTAAATTGTTTGGCTGCTTTTTATCCGTATGCTGGCAGCAGCCCGCATATGTCTTGGGTTCATGGCCGACATATATAAACGATCGATCCATGCTGGGGAGCGTTTATGGCATATTTCTCCCTTCCTAGTCCCTAGACAGTATGTAGTAATTAGTATTTACGGTAGACAGGCTCCTTATCCTAATCGAGGACATGTCATCCATTGGTAAAAGAGCAGCCATCTAAGCAATATGCCGTATTTGTTTGTGCGAACAAAAACTCAATTAATCCATCCATCTATAATCGATAGTCAATGGCTATAGCATGCCAATGTCATTATTGTCGATGTTCAGTAATATACGTGGTGGGAGCTGATTGAAACACAGCAGAGACTGCCAGCTAATGAGCTAGACTTTATCGGCATGAGTACGTTGCAATGCGATTTGCAGATTCGTCGAAATGTCATTAATTTTGGTCGCTGTGGAAGGAGTTATTGTCCCAAATACTACACCCTTCGATTTACCAGTGAGTTAAATGGTTTCAACAAGTCATTTCTGAGCGCATCAGTTTTTAATGCCTTAACGAGAAAAGCGAACCCCTAAATTGATCACTTTGTTTTATGTTTGCCCAATCGCTACCAATCAGAGTCTAGGGATGATTTCTGCTCTGCAGCATTGCAGATTTTCTCTAAAATAGTAAGACACAAACATTTCCTGAGTGGAAGCGTCTGGAATCTTTTAAGCCGCCACGAAGTTCGTTGTGCCATTGAAGAGCCTCACAGCTGTTACAACTCCACGGCACAATTTCTTACACATCTTCTGGGATTAGCGCCTCGGTTAGATGACTGCACACGGCAAGCGAATACAGCAGCCAGACGCTTGAATAGTTTCCAAAGCAACCAATAGATGGCTCTGCCTGACTGACGCCTGGCGCATGCTGCACCGCCATACTTTTGTAGCTTCCAAAGCGGCCCATAGATGGCTCTGCCTGTCGGCTGCCTAGTGCCTAACGTCTGGCGCATGCTGCATCGCTAAACTTCTGTAGTTTCCATAGCGGCCTATAGATGACTGCCTGTCTTGCGCCTGGCGCATGCTACACCGCCGTACTTCTGCAGCTTTTAAAGCGGCCCATAGATGACTCTGCATGTCTAACGCCTGGCACATGCTGTACCGCCGTGCTTTTGCAGCTTATAAAACGCCAAACGGTCAATAGATGGCCCCGCATTAGGTCAAGTAAAAACATCCCATGTAAGCCATCAGCGCGATGAAAGCTCCACTGCTTTCTGCAGCAGGCGCCCCGGCCCCACTTCTCAACCTTAGCTCGTAAAGCTATGAATATGGAGCGCGAGCTGAGCATCTGCTCGTCCATGTGGCGTGCTCTTGACGTCTTTATCTTCCTTGCAGCTCTTTACCGGCCTGGATTCCACCTTTGACAGCAGGGAATGATGGCTGATAGCGCAGTAAAACCCCAAGAGATGATAAAATGCTCACAAAGTCATCGTCTCATATCTGATGCAGATCGCTGCTAGTCCAGGAGGTGGCATTAGAAGTGGTTGTTACGCGAACGGGCCACTTAAACTGGCAAGGGGCTGAGAATGAATATGACAGAAGCAGATTCAAAGTTCTCGACAGTTTTCACACAGCATGTCTGATCCACTTAGCTGACTTGGGCAACGAGCCTTGGTCACGAGTTGTAATCTCATGAGAACGATAAAGCGAGCTGCTTTTCAAAACGTTCCGGATAATTTACATATATAGTATATATGTTACAGGCAATGTGTGGAATCAGGCATTCTATAGAATGCCTAGGCATTCTATAGAATGCCTGACCGACCAGGCATTCTATAGAATCCCTAGGTATTCTATAGAATCCCTGACTGCTTAGGCATTCTATAGAATGCCTGGCTTAAGCTCCCAGGCATTCTATAGAATGCCTAAGTATTTTGATTGTCCGAAACACACTTCGAAAATTAGGGGTCAGTGGCAGTAATGCTATTTGTTTACCTAATTTTCATTGTTGGCCTAGGCCGGTCGTCACCTCACACCATTTCAGGCAATGAGCTGAGAGGAAGCGAGGGAGGTATTGGGCTATGCCGACCACCAAATGGTGCGCCGCAAGCAGCAGCTGATCCAATTCCGTTGGCACGGGAGAGCCACGGCGCAAGGCACGCGGGAGAGTCACAGGCCAACCAGTCGCTTAAACGGTTACCCTCGGATGATTATGCTGCTACAGATACGAAGCTGCATTAGAAGAGTGTTGGCTGGGAGGGTGGACCGTAGGCTTGAATCGAAAGTGATTGCGAATGACGATGGCTTTGTTCTGATGTTAGAAATGAAGGTGAAAAATACACCAAAGGTCACATTTTATGTCGTCATAAGCACTTCGTGTAACGACTCTCAATATACATACATGGACAGCTCAGCCTACACCGTAATGTCAGGGAATAACCTGAATAAATGGTTCATTATTCCACGTCTGGGCGGTGGCCCGGCCGTAACAAGAGCCGGATTAGGTGTTGTTCGATCTCCCCTTCCCGCTTGACTTCTGGGCCATGCGGTATTCGAAAGGTCGTCAAAGACTCAAAATTATGAAATTTTACTTCAGTTCTTCTTTGGCAGTGTTCGAAAGGGTGCCATTTCTAAAACAAATAGCTAAGCCATTTTTTAGGTCAGCCCAATTTTTGTCCATTTTTGGCTCGTAGCCGTTTTCCTCCAGTTTGACCTTAAATCAATTCCTTAGAAGGCAAACACCTCCAAAAATGGACGATTTGTCAATTTTTTCTGTGTATTTTTTTTTACCAAAGGCGTTTCCGATATTGACATTACCACCATCGTCTTTCTAGCGTTAAGATAAATACTCTGTACTCTCAGAATGAAATCCTGATACAATTTGACCTAATAAGGTCAGATTGAATACCTGACCGGAAAATTTGACTGAATGAACATTTGAGTCAAATGATTTGGCTGAATGAACATAAATAGCTGAACGCAAGGTAGCCTGGCAGAAAATAATAATGTTACATGTCGGTCTGTGCTCATAATCGTATACAACATACACTTATATGTTGGAAAGATTCGTGTATTTCCTAGGCATTCTAAAGAATGCCTGAAAATCAGGCATTCTTTAGAATGCCTAGGGATTCTATAGAATCCCTGGTGGGTCAGGCATTCTATAGAATACCTAGGGATTCTATAGAATGCCTGGTCGGTCAGGCATTCTATAGAATGCCTAGGCATTCTATAGAATGCCTAGGCATTCTATAGAATGCCTGATTCCACACATTGCCTGTAACATATACACTTGCAAAATATTTTGGAAAGCTTTTCTATTTACAAAAACAGCACGACTAAAATCTAAAAACTATATGAAGGCCTGGCTATATCATTTAAGGATACTTGTAAGAGAAAATCATAGAATAAAAAAAAAACATGATTAGAATCGAAATGGGTCTACTAGCCTTCGCATTTGCATCAGTATGCTGCAAGTGGGTAGTCAAATAGTTGAGCAAAAAAAAAACAATGCCAAAAAGCTGAGACGCTCTCATTCGTTATCGATCAACCAAAAGTCGCTACCAATGTCAACAGAAGTCGCTATTCTTTTTTTCTTGTTTGTGTGGTCGACTTTTTACGAAGGGAATAAGGATTGATGTATTACGCCATTCTACCAGTGTCCTGTCAATGAACGGTGCTCACCTGGGCCGCGCCACATTGGAGTAGTAGTCGTCTAGTTTCCGGAGGAAGGTGAGGGTCTTGGCCATGTCCTCCCTGTCTCGTGTGTAGCGGGCCATGTTTGGCCGGGCGTCGGCGAGCCGGAGCAGATCTAGGGCGCACACGGCGATTACCAGCAGCGCCAGGAGCTGGCGCACCCTCTGCGGAGAGAAAACACACGGGCGTCTGACGGGAGCACACTTAGAGAGCACAGTGTAACTACAGAGCACTCACGTAGCACTAACTGAGTAGTGAGTACATCTATAGAGCATGGTACACCCGGAGAGCACAGCACCCCCACATAGGACGGAACTCCGAGGGTAAAGGGAGGAAATACGCCCACACAAGATAGCCACGCCCACACTCTCATCACCGGGAGGCAACAGCAGCGGCAGCGGCAAAGCTATCAATTTTCAATGACATCTCATCGCTTCTTTCGCGTCACTGTTGTTGCATATATCAGGCGACACAAGCAATGACCATCGCCCCCTGTCGCGCTGAACCCACGCCCGTCGCTCGCTGCAGTACCGGCCGATGGAAAGCAGTGTCTGCCGGTGACGGGGAGACACCGGCCGTCGCTGCGACGCACTGATTGAAATGCTGGCCGACGGCTGACGGTGGCCGCGAGGAGACAGCGGCGCCAATGACGCCCCCAGATGGGACTGACCGGGGCTCGGGACGCCCGCGGCGCCCCGAGCTGTGATGGAGTGTCGGCTGACGGAGGGTCAGACGGCCGACCAATGTGATGTGATGAGCCGCGGCGCCGTCACCGCGGCGGGTGAGTCAGAGTGTTTCCGCTGTGCTGGGTCAGCCCAAATAGCTACCAACATCCTGCTCCTCACGTCAGACGTAGCTGTGCTGTCATTATTTTATCTTGGTAATGCTGCAATGGAAAGATGTAATAAGCTACCTTACGGCAAATTGTGAAGGATTTCATTTTTAAATAACCTTCTTGCCTAGGTATATCTTGCAAACGTCGGATGTCTTCAACGCAATACACCATCCGTAATGACAGAGAAGAAGGAGAGAGAGAGAGAGAGAGAGAGAGAGAGAGAGAGAGAGAGAGAGAGAGAAAGAGAAAGAAAGAGAGAGAGAGAGAAAGAGAGAGAGAGAGAGAAAGAGAAAGAAAGAGAGAGAGAAAGAGAGAGAGAGAGAGAGAGAGAGAGAGAGAGAGAGAGAGAGAGAGAGAGAGAGAGAGAGAGAGAGAGAGAGAGAGAGAGAGAGAGAGAGAGAGAGAGAGAGAGAGAGAGAGAGAGAGAGAGAGAGAGAGAGAGAGAGAGAGAGAGAGATGGGCCATTGGTCATTGGTATGATGATGTGTATCCTTTTTAATTAAATTTCTAAACGCATTACCAAAATACATGCTGCTGTATGATTGAGATAAAGCGCGCCAGCATTTGAGCATGACAGCTACATGGAACTTTCATCTAACCAAATTGATCTTGTGACGGATGACCTGGATCATTTTGAACCGTCGCCAAACGGCGTCTCTTGGGAAGAATGAACTGCACGCACATTGAAGAGTGTCATGTTACCTGTCGAGGTTGAGCGCCTCCGACCATGCCCGCATGGGGGGCCACCGACCCCCCACCCCCCCCCCCCCCCCCACCCCCACCGTAGGGGATGATAGGGGGTGCCGACCCTATACCGCTCTCATGACAGTGACGGCCGCACATGTTCGCAGCTGCATGAACTCACACCATAGTACATGCGGGTACATGCATTCGGTGGACCCAGGGTGAATTAAGTATGACAGTTATTGGGCAGCTCGGCAGGAAAGGCGTTTATTTATTGGACTCTGTTGAACCACGATCCTAAGCTTGACCTTCCCCTGACAAATGTGTCCTCACATACACTGTTTATTTACAATAATGAGTGTAGCGTTTCCGAGAACACACGATTGCTGTTGCACTTCTGCATAATAGAGCAAATGTAAATAATCTACTGATAGTGAAATTAACAATTGTTTGCGTCCAATCAATAAGTGAACTTATGGCTTATTATATTATCCTGTTATGCTACGATAAGAGAGGCATTAATTATTGCATGGCCTTAACCCTCGCCGGACCTATTGGTTTTCTACATACGCGCCGGCCGAGGGGGGGGGGGGGGCGGGTACGACCCCCCCTGGCCGTTTCGCCCCTGGTGGAGCTAGCGCGTCGCGGAAAAAAACGAGCGTGTGCGCCGTTACAAGACGCAGAGATTGGTACCCGATTTTAAGGTCCTAGGTCAACCGGTGACCTCTGAGGTCAGGTCAAGTGCCCCAGGGTACGGTTCAGTTTTTGGTGAATAACTTCGCAAAAAACGGCCGTAGAGCGCCGATTTTGGCAGCATCGTGTTCGCCTCGCTCAGGCGCGTCGAATGATATACTTTTTGTCCGGGTCAGGTCAACTTGGGGTGTTGACCTCAGGTCAAGGTCAGGTCAGCACCCCCAGGTCACGAAGTTGGTCGAAAGAGGTCATGTCGCATATCATTCGATTCGGCAGGCCTTCCTGAGTCCATTGGTGCCTTCCCCGACTCGCTAGCTCAATTTGATCAAGAGTTATTGACGAAAAACTAATTTGACCTTGATGACGTCATAAATGACGTCACGCAAGGTCAACATTGCAAAAGTGACGCATCTAACCTTGCAAGGAGTGCATCAAATCACGATTCTGTGTGCTTGAGATAGTTGGAGATCGTTCCCGGCGCCAGAATAGCAGTTTTCATTTTTCCCCATTGACTTATAATGGTGAGGTCACGAAAATGACCTGACCTCATATGACCTTTAGGAAAAATCCGAGATATACAAGTTGTGGGACTCATAATGGATACTAGATCCTGCAAGTTTCATTTCCCTGTGACATCTCCTCTGGCAGTGAGGGCGTTGCGAAGTTGCGACATCTGAAGACCGTGCAGAGGTTCACTTATGACGTCATAGGTCAGTGACCTGACCTGACCCAAAAATGCGGTTGGTGTCAAAAGATGCGGCTTGGATCAAAGGTCAGGTATGCCAAGTTTCAGCTCTCTATCGCCAGCGTGTTTGGAGCTATCGCGAAAAAACCCTATGGGGGGGGCGGCACCCGCCCCCCCCCCTCGGCCGGCGAGGGTTAAGGCCAACAGTGGCGGCCTACTCATACAGAAGTAAATCGTATTTCTGTATTTATCCATCTTGAACGCGCTTATCGGAAGGGTAATTCCACGAAAGCATAATGTTGTGGACATATTTCACAAATTTACCTTTAGTTTTACACCTTGCTATCCTTTTTACGGCACGTAGACATCGCAAGGAAAATGTGTCTTAGCGCAAGATGTGATAGCTGATCATACAACCTTACGTTTTTCCAAAAGACGCAAGGATTTAGATCAAGCGGAGTAGGAGTTTTACTGTTGAGCCTCAAGTGTGGGCAATAGCTGAGACCAGTTGTCATCCTCCGTCCTCGGAGTGTCAGAAGGCTCGCCGCCCGGTGTCGTTGGCCACAAAAGGCCACGGGGCCGAGCGGAGTCCTCAGGGCACCAGTGCGTGAAATAAGACCCGCCCGCCAGCCGAGCCGCCTTTTGGCAAAAGAGCGGACATCGTGGGCGATGAGTTGTCAAGTGGCCGGGAAACTTCCCTGTCAGCCACTCCCATTTTTCACCTGTCTCATCACGCTGAAAAGCGTCCACCGAATCGATTTGCCAACAGCCGAGCATAATGTGGTCGATGCTCTTCTGATAATTGAGGAGTGTTAGGTGGAGAACAGCAATATATCAAGCTCACGCCTAACTGCTGCAGAGACGACCAGCGCTGTCAAATCTATTCAATATGACTAAACAATTTAATTATATTTAATTTCATTGATACATGTCTTGGGCTCAGCGGGAACCTTAAAACAGGTATATCAGCAGATTTGAAACTCAATACAATTAACATGATTTGCAACACTTTGAGTGTGGGCGAGAGCAAAGATGAATGCTAAAGAAGCATAAGTTATGAAGAAATGTTACAAGGAAAATGCACAAAAGAACAAAGATTGTTATTTTGTTTATTATTGCGTAAACTAAAAAGACAATAATTGAGTACACGCATATGGCAGTAAACGGTATTGCATTCGATGGCATTCGATATTGCATGAATAGTTGGCTATGTTTGGTCATAGCTTGATAAATAGATAGTGCAGTAAAATGTAATAGCTAAGTGTAACAAATAGTTATTCATTACACCTTGTTTGGGTGAATAACCAACATTCTGTGAGTGTGCACAATGCATTTCGCGCTCGCAACAATTTAAATTAACCTTATGTTCTTTACAGATTTAAATTTAATGCCGCAAATCATATACAGTTAAAACGTAATTTTGAACATTGCTCCTAGGATATTTTTGTTTCTAGCATGTATAAGTTGTGTAAAGTATTTCAAAGTAGAAAATGAAACAAAAAATAAACAGTTATAGGTACATATATCAACAAAGTCGAGGCATGAATTAGGATCGAATTCCTAGCCCATTCCACCCCGTCACCGTTGAAAAATGTTTCGTTACCTCTTGTGCCTTTGCCGGCTTTGCACTCGCACTATTCCGGTAGGTAGTTCCTGCACAGGCTATTTTGCATTGAGTAGCTCTGGGTGATATCATTGAGCCGTGAACTATGTCCAGCTGCATGCTCCTAGTGTATGTGAGTGGGTGAGAAGGATTTTCACCCCACTCTCACCGCGCTGGGGCCACTTTACGACTGTGGGTTTGGCTTTGCTCGATAAGGATAAAATCGCCTCAATCCACTCGGACGTCGCTGAGCCGCGAAATGAAAGGCAGTATGAAGTTTAACTAAATGTCATGCCAACGCGAACTGACCAAATCCTCACAACACCTCGAGCCGGGAAGCTGAGCTCGGAGAGAGTCCAATATCGGCCGCCGTTCATCTTCCCTGGCCTGGAGGGACCGGTCTCAGCCTCGATAACCCATTCTTGCCCTCCACTGCAGTCGGGTTCACGTATTGTGCTAGTCTACTACACCGCACGGAGCATCGGCTGTGTGGCCCTGTAAACAGTTTACTGGGAGCTTTGTATGGGGGAACCAGACAGCTTTGAGGAATGTCTGCAACTCTTCAGGCGGAATCGCTGTTAGGAGGTGTCGTTATTTACGGCCCAAACTGTGTATCGGCGCGTGAAGCTTCGAGGAACGACGAGTCACTTTTAGCAATGACCTCCGGTGCCGGGACAGAAATAATTTCATGGACCGTCGAACTCCTGAGACGAATTCTGGTATAAAATGTGAGTCAGTGGTGCAGCCACCCGGCACATATGGTGTAGATCATTTCAGAAAACTGGACATCAGCTGCTTTTAGGGGACAGTCGTCCACACATGCCAATAAATATGATGCCCAGCTCAGTGACACAGATGTTGACAGTGACGGCAATAGCCGTTTTCACGATGGGCTATCCGGCGCGTGCACCTAATTTGACCAAATCTGCACCTCATCTCTTTAACAGCAAATATCTTTATTTTATGACTTTATTTCAGTGTTTTAATCGATGATGCTCTCGGATAATATGACAAAGCAGCCATATAAGCAATTAGTACAACCCTAGCTGATAGCTATGTACTAAGAGACACACTGAACCTCATTTGACCAAATCTGCACCTAATCTGCACCAGATGTGCACCAAATGTGTACCAGATGGCCGTCGTGAAAGTGGCTAATATGTAGCTCGTGAGATCATCTAACAAAAAATTTTCTTTATGTAAATACAGAACCCCTAAAAACGTTATCAGGCGGTCAGATGAACAAAAACGTTTACCAATGCATCATATTAGGAATGTTTGTGCGCGCATGTAACGTGTAGATACTTAGACGTAAAAAATTGTCTCTCAGTGCGTATACATATAACGCAGGATAGCATGGGCTCATGGAGTAGATTATCTTGATGGAAGGAATATTTTTATGTCCATATGATTGTAAGACCTTTTGGCTCGCTCTAAGGAATAAAATTTATTCCAAGCGAAATCGCCATCTCACTCCAAAGACCAAACAACCAGTTTGACAGCGACTTAGAGACTTCACCAGACACATTTATGTCAACGTCGCTCCTTGGTCCTCTGGCTATTGCTGGGCTCAAACTAAACTGAGACAACAAACTCCACAAATCGTCATTCAAAAGTTGTTCCCGAGTGTCTGAGGCTACATACTTAAAATGGATGGCCGTGAGTTAGGGCAGCTGTTATCACGCCAGTCAACACGCGACCAAACCGCGGAAGGGAGCGCAAAACTGCAGGTCGCAAACTGGAGCCCCAGTGCTAGCGAGATTGAACTACTGGCTGATGGTGAGCTGGTAAGACGCATCTGCTCATAGCGCTGTTGCATTGGCGAGCTTCAAATTTCAATAGCCTGAGCTGAGCGGTGGGTGGAACATTTCTTAGAGATTTGGCAGCATCAGCTGTTATGAATATGGAAATAAAACGAATACTTTTAAAAACTGACCGAGTGAATGGCATTTTGCAGGTGCAGTGGACACAAATTTTATTCATCTCTATCGCAACATAGGTATGTAGACACGGGTGTCTCCTACTATGAAGTTATCTTACAGCACCATAAGCTCTATACATCTGGAAATCACATTTACGTGAACAAAATAATTGCGCATCAATAACGGATGCTCGATAAAAGACCTGCTTCTAACGCACATTGATGTGTCTGCGGCAAGTTTCTGGTTTGGCATTCCCTGGTAATAGCTATGTAGCCTGAAGGTACATAGGTATAGTGACACGAATGCTGGAAGACCACTACCGGAGCGTCAACAGATAGGTTGGTGTTTGTTTAATTTATCTGAGTTGGTCTTTGTAAGGTGAACCTTTGTGCTTTGTGAATTAGTGGTTTGTGTTTTGCTTGCAATGATGTCAAATGACCTTGAACATAATTGATTTCTCATTGACGACTACATAACGTATGCCAGGTTTCTTAGTTATATGCATTGATTGAAATGTAACTACAATTACATGTGGTATACTTTGCACCCGTGGGCAGCAAAATAATAACACACAGCACAAGGTGCCGCAGCCAATGATGTCTTACACTCGAACTAGACTCTTGTTTCGTCACAATACATTATGTCATTGAAGTTCTTTGATAAGTAAGAGACTTGGCTCTTACCTACTTCTATCCTTAACTCTTTATCAGAGAAACAGCTCACAGGCTAGAAAAATAGTGAGTGATGAGAAACAAATGATTCAAACTTCATGTCAATGCTATAAATGGCTTGGCAGCAGCCCACACGTGCTCTAAGGAGCCTCGAACCATTTTAGCAACTGAACAAATGTGTTGCGGTTCACTGGTTCTGTTACGATCGCTAGCTCACACAAAACGGTGCTCGACGAGCTGGACTTGCGAGCACATGCAGTCGATAACAATGATTGTGCGTCAATCCCAGTCTAGGAATATTCACCGGAACGTCAATGGGCGTGTTCTGACCAAACTAAGAATGCCCACTACAGAACTCAGTTCTTTGGATGAAAAAAAAATGCTGCATCCATCTGACACGTGAGAAATAAACAGAATTAATTCAGTTACTTCAGACCATCGGCAGCTCCTGTGTATAATAAGGAGGACTTATACGGTATGCTGGAGCGTTAAAAAAAAAAATCCTTAGGAAATTGTGAAGTCAGAGAAGCATCTTATAACTACTGAAACCACACAACAGCGTATGAGTCATAAAAATCCAGTAAATCCAGATGATTTTTTTTTTTTAAATCAATCTTATGTCAGACAATTTTTCGGCCTTCAAACTCTCCTGGCAACACCTGAATGCACTTCCAAAATATCAAATTGTTTAAATGCATATGTTGCAATTATTTGTTATGCATGCGCACTGTACATTTTGTGCAATAAATGACTTTAGGAAAAGGGTGTGTGCATCGCGCAATAAGCATATGGCTCCAAAGAATGCCCATCATGCGCGACGCGTCGTTGAATGAAGCATTAGCAATTTATATTGGAATGTTTATGAAAAAATTACGAAGAATACTCAATGAACTGACGTGTATGTTGCTGTGACTGATGGATACCATACATCTGAAAGACTTTTTGAGCGGTTGGACACTGGCTTATGTGATGATAACATCCTAAATAAACGATGTTCTATACCAAAGTAGCTCAGTAAGACAATTGTAGAAGTAACAAGTTGATGAAGACTTGACTCCAAAGAAATCGTTGAGGTCATAGCTTGACGACTAGTATTTCATACTTCCACCCTAAATTTCGGTACATTGTTGGTTTCATGACCCCTCTCGGCTCTCTGATGTATTTCATGTTCTTTATTCGGCATTTAGTTAATAGTTCTAACCATTTACCAAAAAGTTAGTTTTTCCGTGACTGAGTGTCTATGGTTTTTTTTTGCGAAGTCTGGTTTGGTCTTGGTTCCTCGACTTTCTGAAATTGACTCCACCGGACGGTAAATCCGCCCTCCGGACCGTGGGTAGCGCGGGGCCGGTGGTCGCACACTCACCGACGGCATGGCTGGGCTCTATCGGCGGCGGCGAGGCTGACTGTCGGCGCTGACCGTCCGACACCGGGAGCCCGCTGGCGCGCACTGGCCTCCCTCCGCCGGGGCACGGAGCCGTCGCCCTCCACCGCCGCCCTCCGCCGCCCGCCGCCGCAGCGCCGCCCGCCGCCCGCCGCCGCCCGCGCAGTCCAACCCGCTCCCTCCGCGCTCAGCGCCCTGACATCACTGCACGCAAACTACGGTAATCAAGTCAAACGATCGCACAAAACCGCACCGATCGCTCGTCGCAATATCCGTTAATTAACAACTGAAGACGGTACAGGGTGATTCTATATAGGGACAGCAATTAACCAGTACTGCATTAAACCCGATCGGCGAGCACGCCTTAGACCCGGTATCTGTGTCGAGAAGAAGCGAAAGAGCGCAATTTATCGGGAACCCCGTCGTTATTGTCACGTCTCCAGGTTTCCACGAAGCGCGAGATTATTTCCGGCCCCTTCCCTAAAACGGTATGTGTTCTTTGTTCTTTATTCTTGGCATTTGCTCGATACAGGTGAAATAAGATTAAACATAGGTACATGAACTGCTAATCCCTCAGTCAGAGCGAAAATGTCACCACTGGGGGCAAATAATACCAGAAATGCCATGCACCAATTTTTGTGATAAGCACATTAAAAAAGCGGATACGTAGGCGAAGCATGGGTGCAATGCAAGACCCTTTATATGTCCGGGTTAATTTTGCTGTTAGGTAGTTTTCATGTTATTTACCTTACATCAAACTTTTCCCGCTCAACAATACCTATTGGTACATAGCAGTTCGTTGATAGTTCAGCCCTTTCAACTTTCAAGCGACCCAGTCCAGCTCCATGTCCCTCATATTTCTTTTACGTCTTCATCTCAACCAATATGCTGATTGCTGCATATCCTCGGGACATATTAACGGTTTTCCTCACCCTGATTCTCATCCATTACGCATGCCCCGTCCCCCAGATTCCCTTTATTGACGGTCACCGGTGCGGCGAGAGCAGCTCTTATTGCCGGCACTGTTGGAGAATCCGCCTAAGAGGGCTACAACCCACTTTGGCTTTACAGAACTTATGTTGGTCAGAGAGAGCACAAGCAAGGAAATAAGGTCTCGTTTTAGAATCTATGTTCAAAGTCTGATGTGGACACTCGGAGATTGGCACAGGTCCCTCCGAGGTCAGCGTGGGATCTGTATGGAGACCGATGTTTTTTTTTTGTACCTGAGGCCTATGTAGGGCCCTCGACATGGGGTCCACATGAACAAGCGCTGGTTCAGGAGGCGGTACTGGCCCTTAGAAACATGCAGACCATAAAAGGACAGACTTGACCCATATGAAGCCGGCATGGGCCCTAAGGCTCAGGTACCAGTGTGGGGTGACGGGGTCATCGAAAAATGAGGTAGGACACCCAGAATCCTCTGACTCCAAAACTCAACGCTTAGAGCGCTCAGGCGCTCAAACCGACTGAACGCTTAGGCTGGCTTTAGAAGTCGCCGGTTGACCGGATACATTAGTCGCTAGCGTATAGGAGTCCGCTGGACCCCCCCCCCCCCCCGCCCTTGCCGGTCGGTCCCTGGTTGAGCTATAGAGCTTCGCGAAAAGAAAAATAGTGTGCTGTCCGTAACGAGACGAAGTCGATGATACCCAATTTTAACCTTCCAGGCGGTGGGGGGCATTTTTTGCCCCCCCCCCCTTAGTTTTTTTTTCTCGATATATCTCCAGCACCGCTGCGCCGACCGTCACCAAACTTTCGGTACCCTCCCGTTAATAGCTATTGCACATTGTGACCAAAATTTTTTCAACGGCTATGATAGGTTGGCCGCTAATGACGTCAGAGTGACGTCATTTCTGCCATTTTCGGCCAAAAAAAAGGTTTCTCGGGAAGAGCTGTCAGGCCTACAGCTAGTGTGGTGTTTTTGTTTTCGAAGGTTTTTTTAACGTATGGCGAAGCAAAGTTAATGTCTACAAACTAATACAAAAGCATGGGCTGGGTGCGCTACCATTTCTCTCTTTTTTCTTTTTTTGTAAAAAAAAGAGATACAGAAAAATGTTTCCGACATAAAAGGTGTAGAATTGACAGAACTACAAAACTGCACTCTCGGATTTTTTAAAGTTTTGGATTTTGACCCCCAAAAATAAAAACAATAGATTTTTTTGAATATAATGGCCGAAAAATCCAAAAAGTTGTTTGAATTTCAAAAAAAGAATATGTGTAATAGTCCCTACAGCCTTCTATATCAACATACCAATATTGAGATCGATACCTCTTTTTTTGGCCAAGTTATTAGCAAAACAACTGTTCAAAATTGATGACGTCAAATTTTCAAACTCAATTTTTAGCACTTCTAGACCTCGTAGCGCAAAACAAAGACCACCATTAGACTCCCCGTGACGAGCTGCATCGAATCAATACCCATTTTATGCAAAATTATCAACTTTGAAATTTGACTTTTTTTTACCTGACCTTGACCTGACCTCCACCAGAAAGTGACCTAAACCGTACCTGATGGTCTTATAACCAACACCATTCAGTTGGAAATGAAAAATTGGTCATAAATCATGCATCGCACAACCTTAGTAAAGTTGGGTTCATGTGGTGACCTTTGGTGACCTGATCGGTGACCTGACCTGGTGTGACCAGTGACCTCTAATAGCAACATATGTACTAGAAAACTGACGCCCTATCGCGGATTTTCCACAAAATGCGTTTTACTCGGTGTTATAGCGCTTTCCCTAGAAGACCCGTGAACGGTGAATCATTTATCTTTGACCTGATCTGTGACGTCATCGGTGACGCCGAGGTCAATGAAATTTGGTTTCCTTCGACAAATTTGACAGGGCTATCGAACTCCGTTTGAATTTTCCGGATCCGTCCAGTAATATCGGAGATACGGGGGGGGGGGGTTCCCAGCAGTGGTAGCGTAGTGTAGTGGTTAGGGTCCCCGCATCATGTTCCATAGGTCTTGGGTTCGAATCCCTGGTGATCTAGTGAGAGGCAAAGGGTACGTGGTTCTCCCACGTGTGACCAAATTGTTTTTTGGGATTCACGCGGAAATAGTGGACGACATGAGCTACTAACCAAATCCCAATTAAATTCCATGTGCGCTTTTTGCAGTGTCCGTGTGAGTCTCAACTGGGAAAGCCCGTGTGGGAGCCATATATATATACAATATACATATATCCCAGCTGGGTCCCATATGGGCCCCACTTGGGCTGCCCATGTGGGTCCCAACTGGGAAAGCCCATATGCGGGCTCAATACGGGCCCCAGATGGGCCCCTCATGGGCCCCGTCTGGGGTGCCCAGATGGGACCCAGTTGGACGCCCATGACATTCCCATCTGGGTCCAAGGTGGGCAACCCAGATGGGTCCAAGTTTGGTGCCCACTTGGGGCCCATGTGGGCCCCACTTGGCAAGGCTGGCTGGGTTTTTTGCTTTGAAACCACAGTACTTAAAGGGACTATCCCACCTTCAAAAAAGTCCCGTTTAGGATTCGGAAATGTTATACTCATGATATTGTGACGAATTCTGCAAGTTTTTACGCGTTTTCATCGTATACTTTTTGAGATATTGCGACTTTTATATTTCATCGTGACGTCATTTAGATCGGATCTGTGACGTAATGAAGGATTTACTTCATGTCAGTGTGGGGGAAATTTGGCAGCAGATATAGGTATTTGCTCTCAATGAAGGGAACGAATTTCTTCAACACAACGAGGCCGCGGGGCGGGGGTTGCAACCAAGATAGATAGTGGTTTCTGGACCTCGCCGCAAACTTGGCTATCTCAACTCAAACCTAATGTAAAGGTGGGATAGTCCCTTTAACAGCAGGTCACTTGGTGCTTCTTTGTTTGGTGTACTTATCCATGGGTCAGGTCATTTGAAAAAAACGTCATTTGACCTCAGTTGATCTCATTGATCAACTGAGGTCAAATGACGTTTTTGCCAATAACTTGGCACATAATGACGCTAGAGCTTTCAAAATGGTGTCATTGTGTTCCTTGTGATGAGCCGAATCGAATAATATGCGATATGATGCAATTTGGTTAGCTTGAACTTAATTAATTAATTAAAGTTTACTTAAAATTTAAGAGAAACTTTAAGTACACTTAAGCAAGCTAAAAAGTAAATTATTCGACGCGCCTTGACGTGCTGAGTTTATTGGTGCTTTTCTTTTTGCTCTATCTTAATTAGATCAAAAGTTAAAAGCGAAAATAATTGACCTGTTTTTAGCGAAATTTTTACATTTATACTCTCCAAAACCCCCTAAATATTGACCAAGAGCAACCAAATTTGCACAGGGCGAGAACTCCAGGGGGCCCACCTACCTACCAAATTTGGTGTTTTTAGGTGCCATAGGAGCCAATCGCGAGGGCCCCCCCCCTGCGCATCGACCCCCCCTGCCTGTGTTATGAAAAATGCCCTGCCAGGGCGAGGGTTAAAACCCGCGGACCGACGGGGGTCTGCGCCAAATTCGTACCGACGGGGGGGGCGGATGACCGCCCCCCCCCTGAGATCTCGAGAACGATGCAAGATAGCGACAAGCGGTAAACGGTAAGGGTCCCCAACGGACAAGGTCTACAATTTTTACAAAGGTCATTTTCAGGTCAGGTCAAAGATGACGTCACAGGGGTCAAAAAAAGTCAAAATGGCGGCGCCAGGTATGGATACAGTTTTTCTCGAATAACTTTCGAACTAGTCAATATAGAAACAAACAAAGGCCATCATCGTGATCCTCTCGTCAATCCGCATCGAATGATATATATGTTGACCTCGAAAGGTCAAGGTCAAAGGTTGATCTCAGGTCACGTGACCTCGAGGTCATCATGTATATCATTCGATGCGCCTTGACGAGCTGAACACAATGAGACCATCCGCGCGGCTGTATCTTGTTCCTGTACGGAGTTATTGTCAAAAAACCGCTGGTGACCTTTGATGACGTAACATGACCTTACAGCTGCCCAACAGCAAAACAGACCTCAAGTTAGTGAAGGTTGATCGTATATGAGGTCATGTATGGTTTATGGGGCCATTCCGACCCGTTTTAGTGGTAAAAACAGGGAGTTGATTTTTCCCCCATTGACTTATAATGGGGAGGTCGAGAAATTGACCTGACCTTAGGCCATCGATATCAAAATTCCGAGATATACAAATTGTAGCTACTAATG